GATACCTAACATGCTAATCTATTGCCGATCAATCAAATAATCGCACTCCTACCCCCTAACGGTGATTCGTTTCTAGAAGATCCTCCAGTGCCAGTCCTCACAATGCCCCCTCCAACGCCGCCACTGCTACCTGACTGGGTTGAAGTCGTACCACCTTGTGCCACACCCCTCAAATTCATGCTACCAAGCCTACTCACAATATTGCTACCCACAGCGTCAACTGCACCCCTCGGGGAACTAAATGTAGGTCCATGTGCTGCTACTTCTTGAACTCTAAACAGCTTTATTGCTGTGCCATTCCAAACACCTATTGTACCCTTCGCAACCTGCATTTCAGATGTGAATACAAATGCCCATAGCAGGGATTCGTACCAACCAAGCGATAATGGCGTCCACTCAAAAGAATGAATACGAATGGCTGTAGTCTCGATTCCTCTTATCTCGGCCTTTTGAATGGTGCGGAGGATATTATTTGAAGGTGTATCGGAAGGATTATTAGGATTTGAGAGGAGAGAATCGATTTGATCAATGAGAGTTAAGATTGTATGAAGTGGAAGTTCTGGAAGCCATGTCTCTATCCACTGAGGTGTAGGCTCAAATGCACCGCTCGATGAAAATGCTGCGTAGCTACTTAAGCTCGTTGTGCTATTATGCCTAGAGAAGGTGGGCATGCCAGCTGTTACGAGTTAGTAACCTGTTCGGCGACCAGATGCAGAAATACATACCAGGCATTTTCCCCCTGGCCTTTTCTGACATTCCTCGTAGTTGCGTAGGGACTGTGTCATCAATGCTTGAGGATATCGATGAGGCCCTTGAAGGGTGGTCTGTGGGAGGTGATGCTGCTGGAGTGGGACGTTCTTCAACGTCGCTATCTTCATCGTCATCGTCTCCAATAGCAAACGTATCCTCCTCTGGCACATTACTAAGCGCTGATGCCCCTCGTGCATGACTTATAGATGGGCTTCGCATACTATCAGCGGAGCCTCTCCTACTGTCTACGTCCCCTGATTCTGCTAGACGTTCTTTCTTTCGCCTGTTTCTCCTTTCTATCTCTTCTTGGCCACTTTCCAAAGTAAAATGTCGTAAGGCTAATCCAGATTTAGTTGACACTCAAGATATGAGGAGTGAATCTATACCTTCAAATTTCTTCTTATTTCTCAAAATAGCATACACAAAATTAGGGTTGTCTAGATGGATAGTCAGTATCTTATCTTTGCAGAATAAATAATGATACTGGGATAACTCACTAGGATACTGGTGCTCGATGATAGCATTCATACTCTCCAAAAGAGACTGAAGGAGATCATGATTACTGTCGTTCGATAAAAGGAACCCTGGTGATGACATCGACGCAAACAATTGCAGAAGTTTTGAAGACGTGGGAGCGCTGATATTCTCCAGATAAGCAGCGATGTTATTTATCACTGCTAACAAGGCAGGGTATATGGCTGTGAGTTTTCCTTGACTTGTTGTTATTATGTTGTAAATTGACTGTTCTTCGTCAGTGTTGCAGTATCAACTTCCGAAGAAAACCTACTTGTATGAGGAAATCGGCATATGTCCCATTGAATGACTGAAGCCTGATACTGGGCGGCAAAGTATCCTGGGCCTCAAATCTCTTGTTAAGATTCTTGCCAAAGTTTGGTTCTACACTTAAGGTCTGTAAGATGAAAATACACATCCGTACAACTCCTTGTTTGGAGGCATCTAGTCTGTATTCGAGGGAATAGAATATGATTAAAATAACGAAATCGTGTGATCGATCAGTATCAATCAAAAACGACCTGAATCGTTTGTTGCATTGGGTGATTTCCCAGAATAACATGATCATCTCCGAAGCACATTTTGCGTATGATTGATTTCCTGGAATATAGGAGCTCGTGGTATTCATAGGCTGGTTCAAGATTCTTGTCATACCATCTACAATGAATTGAAAATCTTGTGGCCTATGTAAACGACCAAGAAAGTGTCGGAAATAATCTAACAATGTCAATTGAAATCTACAAGCAGAACTATATCAATATCTTACTTTTCTTGGTTTGAGCAGGGCCGGATTCGGGTATCGGATATAGGAGAATGGCAAGCAAAAACTACGAGGTTCGAACATCAGATTCTGAAATCAATGGATAGTATGCTGACTGACCTGCAATGCATATGTGACTAGAATCTGTTTTGGGTCTTTGAAAACTTGTACATTATATGGCACTTGCCATTTTGCTGGGTTGTATTTCAAAGTCTTCATACATGTTAGTATTTGGTTATAAATGAGGATAGTGTGACCTTACCGTGTTCAGTAGAGAGCACAATACAGATAACACAACCTGCTTGTCTGGACAAGTAGCGATATATGTGATGGCTTTCACGCCTTGCACAGGAAGTAAGTTTGCCGACATGTACATACTCTGACTGGTTAAAGTCAAGAGCAATCTTAATATCTCGGTGCGGTTGTTCTCAAATTCTTTACTAGTACCCACTGGTGTATTACATCCTACTCCGCTTTGCCAAATGGCATACGATACTTTGTTCTTACTGTTCTGCGGTTTGGGGAGGGTAAAATCTGCAAAGAACAACAAATCGATCAAAGTGTCGATCAATTCTTCTGCCAAGGGCTTTACCTCTTCAAATTCTTGCGCCGCAGCTTCGAGCTTCTGTAGTTCTTCCTGGGATTCATCAAATATTACGTCTCGGGCGAGGGCTGCCTTGCTACAACATAGTCAGTGACTGAATCAACCAACATCAATCTGCGACTGTGTACCGTGTCCGCTTCCTCCTCACGCCCCAAAAGAATGTCTCCTCCCATGATTGTAGTTTTTCAGCTTCGTATACGTATGGCAGAATGCGTGTGAGGATTCGAATGCAATTCAATGCATCTCTTTCCGGAGCAAACTCTGGATGAGGGAATGAGGGGTGATGGCGGAGAACAAAAAGTCGGCTGGTTATTGCTAATATTAGAGTCTCTAGGTTTTCTAACGCCGTATCGCGAGTTCTTCGAATATCCGCAGGGGAGAAGAGACTGAAAATGTCTTCTGTGGATTCTGGCAACTCCCAAAACTATACAAGGCTCAATTAGTAATAACTTCAGCTGAAGATGTGCGATCAACTCACAGAAGCCCAATATGGGTCATCGGCAGGAATGATCTTGTCCTCTGAAAGTCGGAAGATGCCCTTCTTAAATACTAGTTTCGAGTCGGAAGCTCCCATCCTTAATTGTGTTTTGCATCTGGAGCTGGAATTGTGGCCGTTGTTTGATATGTATGTAATAAATGTTCTAGATTGTTGACGAAGCTTCTTTGTACTGGACGATAAGATAGCCTTCACTGGAGCCAATCTTCACGTGCTAGCGAAGATTTATAGGTATCACAGATACCACGTACTCAACATGAAATTTTCTGAATCACATACTCAATTGAATAGCGTCTTGAGACAACCCAACAATCATCAGGACAATGTTTAATACAAAATTTCAATAATGCAGGTGCATGTCAAAGTAGTGCATGTCAAAGTAATGCGGGCCACAAGGGTATCTAACTATATCCACAATCCATCAAGTCTAAAATCTATGTATACAATCGGGCATTGCCTGAATTTCTCCTTCCCTTCTCGTAAAGCCATTTGTTATTTAACCCAACACTTGACGGTTTCGCAGCACCTAATGGACTTGGTGTACCAGGATCCCCAATAGATCGACCAAGAGGATTTGAGCCATATGAAGACCTCCGGTTACCACTTCCACTCATGAGAGTCTTCTGTAACAAGGGACTTGCACCTGGCGAATAGACTGGCCCCAGTGGATTGATCAAGCTTTCCAGGCCGTCTTGAGTGTGTGGACTTTCGGATCGTTTCCCGGAAGGACTTCCAGAAGCTGGGCTTCCTCTTCGATTCGCAGGCGAGCTGCTCAGGGGTGTTGACGTCCTCCTATATCTCGGTGGAGTGACATACTCCGACCCTGGAGTAGGTGGCCTTGAACTAGGTTTCAACCCAAGAAGTTTTCGTTGAGCAGGTGTCAAAGGTATGTCTTCCATGTTGTCTCGTTTCGTGTAGAATGGGCGAAGTGCAACAACAATATTGAAAACGAGGCAGAATTGTATTGTTCGGAAGCCCCAGGACGCAAAGATTGGAAATAATGCTTCGCCGAAGAAATAACCAGGGAAGCTGAGATCACAGTTAGCACATATTATTGCATTCTGGATCTGGTGTACCTACGTTCTCCAAAGTGTTTGTCCAAAGTACCACAACACAACAAATCCCACACCATTCCATACAAGTCGCCTCATGTTTTGATCTGTAAAAGTGGCCACATTCTGTCGTCTTGCGATCTCATCGAATTTGGGGTGTTTCCAAGTTCCAGTCTGCGGTGTAGATGGCTGTGGTTCTCCAAACCCCGACTTTCTCGCTGACGCTGGCGATGATCGTTGGGTTGCTGGTGTAGTAGGGGTCCGTATCATTGTAGACATCTTTGGGATTATACAAAGCCTTTAAGCTTTGTTGGGAGGTTGGTAAGCTCCTAGGTGTACCCGTTAGCAACCATGTCAAATCCAAACGTATATAGAGGGTTTAGATCATGCTACTCACTTTTGATGCTGATAAAAAGCCAACTTTGCCTGTTTTTTATGGTTAGTATTATTTCAATTGAATTGACGATTAAATCTACGTTCGCATTGTTGTTTGTCGAGAAGGTTATCGAAGGAATAAAACCTTTCCTGGTAGTTCTTCCTGAGTTGTTTTGATCAAGAAATCGTGAATTCTGCTAAAGCTCAAGGCGCGCTTCTACTTTGGTATTAGCGCGACTTTAAACCCCTGTCCATTGATTGGTCCTATTGATTAGTGCCGGATATCATCACCCCGCCCCGTAGAAAGCTGTCGTATCACCAAGCAACCCCAAATACCCGCCCGCGGAGTTTCTCTTGAAACGAGTATTATAAATTGTTAATACTCATACTCATGAAGACACCTTCAACTTATTGTAGCTACAAATACGTTTTTTAGAAACATCTTTCAGGATGGGGTTCGATAATCTCATGCTCTATCTCGATGAGAGCATTACAGGTGTTCTCAGCGATTGGGATCTTTATTCAACCTTAATTGTTACTGTTCTCATCGGCTTCTTTGTGTACACAGTTGTAACATCTCGCGATCCGGATTCACATCCTATGCTCTTAGCCCGTCAATCACAGGCATCTCCAGTCAGACAAGAAGGACAATCTGCCGTCTTCAGAAATCACACTTCCCCCCATGGCATACCTCTCAACTCAGGACTCAACGTCAAAGACCCTGGTGATTCGAAATGGACCCCAGGGCGCAATGGTGACTTGAGAGACATCTGGCGTAAAGCAGTCACTGGGGCTGTCGATAGGGAAGGGAAAGAAACTGGAGATATTGGCAGCCTCATGACAATACATGGTTCCGATAAACTAGTCACTCACAAGCTTGGTTTGTACAGCATTGTGAATTAATACCTTCGCTTTACTAACTTTGATACAGCCGATATTACTCGTCAGATCAACTTGATTGGTCAACATATCAAGCAAAATGGCGGAACTAACGTTGCAATATATTTACCAAACTCTATCGAATACATAGCAACGTTGTTCGCTTGTGCCTTCTACGATCTCAGTGCGATACTTCTGCCATATGACGAATCTCCCGAAAGCTTAATAGAATTGATACAAAAGTCCAAAGCGGATACGGTCATTGCAGCTGTTGGTTCTTTCCCATTTGATGTAGTGACAAAGTCATACCCCGCTTTGCAGCAAATGATATGGGTGGTGGATGATGGCAGCAAGCATATGGACTGGAATGAAATTCCAAAGGGTACTGGCGGAGCTGTGAATGTTTCTACCTGGCAAGAGATTCTTCAAGATCAGGAGGCTCATGCAGGTTCCGAACTTCCCGTCGTTGACAAGAATGATAAGGAGCCTAACAAAGTCGTTGCATTCTGGCCTAATGGAGAACTCGTGGAATACACTCAATCAGTGCTGGTGGCCGGTGTTTCCGGTCAACTCTCCTCCATACCCACTATTCAACGTATCACATCTAAAGATCTTTTTCTCTCAGCGGAACCACTATCAAAGATCTATCCTTTGATCCTAACTCTTTCTGCACTTTACTCAAATTCTTCCGTCGCATTAACATCTGTTGCCATCAAAGACCCCGATCTCGTTCTGGCAACGAAGGGTACATCCCCAACGATTGTGGTTGCTTCTTCCACCACTCTCGCGAAACTCCACGCAGAAACCAAGGATAACTTAACTTCCCCACTCTATCAAGTCATCCACTGGTTTCAAACTCGATCCTTGGTACAGAATGGTGTTATGCCTCTTGCCACCGTCTTTTCCCGCATGTACGATCATCTTCGCCCAATCATTGGCACAACGCCTGGGAAACTTCGCTTAATTTACGTTTCCGAACCTGTTGGTGCACCGTCAACACCTTTGAGCGCTGAAATGCTCTCAGATCTCCGTATTTACACAGGCTCAAGAATTGTGTACGCCCTTACAGCATCAAAGGTGGCAGGCGCTGTCTCTCAAACTGGTATATATGATTACAGAGTAGACGATGGTTCAGAGAAATACTCGCACTTTGGAGCGCCTCCTCCATCCGTCGAGATCTTTTTGAAGGATACCAAGGAGTATCAAACTTCTGACACATTTTCCGTTGGACAGGTATGCTTCCTCCTTTTCAAAAACTCCTTACTATCTTCCTCTCCTCTTTTGCGAGGACACATCAACTAACCTTCAACAACAGATCACGGTAAGAGGCCCTGCCGTCGTAGGAGGAGAAGCAGACTTGGGTATCGCAGGAAAGATGAAACCAGACCACACACTCGCTCTAATTTCATGATACGGTGTTGATGTTTTTGTGCATATTCATGGAATCGTTCATATCATATCTGTCATATCAAATAAATCTAAATCCATAATAAAGCTCGGAGCTATCCGAAATGATCACATTGCAATTTTGCCGTAGTTATAATTCACTTAATCATTACCCCATGCTCAGAATCAGTCGTCTGTTGCACATCTAAAGACTTAGCTTTTGTATTAGCTCTCAGAATGAGCATTTTGTTGCGTACCTGGAAATTTAGCTCTTCCATTAGCTCTGCAGACATGGTAACAGTATTCAATACTGGCGCCAATAATATCCACTCATCGAGATGACATTATTGTATTGTTGCACACCTCAAAACTTAGCTTTTGCATTAGTTGTTAGTCCTGCAGGAATCACAAGCAAAACATCCACAAGCAAGATGTTTTTGTTGCACACCTAGAAAATTAGTTGCAGTTGTTAATTTATTACCAGCCGTTTGTTGCATGTCAGGAATTTTAGTATGATCATATCTAATCTATAATCCTGACTAGAGGTCACTTGACGCTGGCAGGGACAAAAATCCGAGGCCCCTAAATATACTCGCTAGTAAGCCCATGAAGCAAGGCTAAAAGAGTGAAGGCTGAGGCTAAGGCTGAAGCTAAGGCTGAAGCTAACGGGGGCTAATTGGATGCGAAACAAAACAAAACACTGGGATGTGTGGTCAGGACGGCTGGAGTGGGGACATGGGGCCGGGCAAAACGTTAAGGCTTAACGATGATGCCGCTGCCAGCTGGGATGTTTACGGTCATGCAGACGATAAAGGGGAATAGGAAGGGGAATGAATCAATAACGTGCCGAGGTAAGGAGCACATACATGTACGATAGGAGGAAAATAAAGTTATATCAAATGACTATGTTAGAGTTGTACGTACATATCGTATGCATCTAATCAGGTGTATTATTAGGGATCGTTAGCCTTGATGATGATAGTTCTAACACACATCATTGTTTGTTGATAGCTCAATGTGCAAAAATGATACTGTTACTGATAAGTTGTGACTTTGTTTGTTATACGTAGGTGGATCAAATAGTCAATGACTTAAGTCCTCGAGCCATGGTGAATTAATTATAAATTAAAATGAGATTTTCATGCTTTGAAAATATTTGCAGCTTAGTTGTCGACTAGAAAAATTAGTTACCTTCATTGCGCGTCGTTGCCATGTACCAATCCTGCCTATTGTTACCGCCTAGCTACCGTCTCTTACCGCCTAACCCCTAACCTCGCACGCCTAGCAAGCATCATTGACCCTAATGGTAAGCGAGATCCAGCACTAGACTAGGTCATCATGCCTTGAATTCGTCTAACTCGAATGCCTGAAGTGCCTGAACTTAGAGGCCTGAACTAATGTACCTAATGTCCCTAAAGTGATATTGGTGAGGCCGAGGGACGTGTTGGTGGTTTTAGGGCTTATAGTTCTTATGCTATTATAAGCTACTAATGCGATCCCGGATGAGCAAAAGTATGATTAACTGAGCAAATTTCAGAATCATTATTAGCTAAAATAATCATGTTACACAACACCATAGCCTCCAATACCAAAGCCATAACGGCAAAACTCAACGGAAATGATTAAGTCAAGACCACACCAACGCCAACACCAGCAACAATACCAACCAACATCAACCCAAAAGTAAACCACTCGAATCAAATTCGCATCTCAACACGAGCGATCATCCTCAGGATTCAAAATCCACGCCCCCGAATCCAACACCAAATAAACAAAGCGATGCCGCCGCAAGCGATTTAGCACCAATTGGTAGATAACCAACCACCAACCAAGCAACTAACCAACAATATCCCACTTCTCATCACATTCCTCCTGCAACGCCTCCCATAACTCTCCATCTCGATCATTTCTCAAAAGCACCAATCTCAAAGTATCTCCAGCCTTCCCAACTAAAATCATAAATATACAACAATTGTCTGTAGGTTACTCACCATCCATCTGCGCGTGGGGACATGATCAAAAGAACCATGAACATGCATCCGCATCCAAAGTATATCGAGGCTAAAAAAGCAGACGAGCAACAAACATTCATGACCCTTTCACCTTCCCACAAAGAGATCTCTAGTCCCGCGAACTAAAAACTAGATGTGCAACAAAGACTTTTCAAACCCTCGTTTCCCTATAAGAAAAATACCTATCTCATAGTGTAATAGTACACACAAGCTAAATATCAAATACCCAAACCCTCACCCCTCCCTTCCTTCCCTTCACACCACGACGAAACCCTCTCTAGTCCCTCGAACTAAAAATCCAGATACGCAACAAAGAATCTCTGAACCTCTAGTTCTTCTATCTAATCTAAATTACTATATTCATATCGTAATAGTACATACAAGCTAAAAGTCAGATACGCAACAAAGCGGTAGTACACAGGTATCTAGGTAATGAAGCGAGGAAAAGGATGATTAGTCTCTTGAGCTAAATTGTAGATGTGCAACAGTTTGAATTTTTGGGTTGGTGTCAATGATGAGAATGGGAATGGGAATGGAGGGATTGAGAATACTAGACAGGGGATTATATAGGTAGGGGTTTGATGGGTTGGATTTGTAGCTGGATTTAGATAGGAGGGAGGAGTTTAGGTTGTTTGATGGATTGTTGAGTGGGAGTGTGTGTTGGATTTTTCTTTACAGAAGACTGTGTTTTCTTGAACTATTGATCATATTCGCTTTTGCGGAATGAGAATAATGATTAGTAGGTATGGAAAATTAATTAGATTTGAAAAATTGGATATCATGGTTTAAGTCAGTCAATCAATCAATCGAAAATAACCCTCACAACAATACAATCAACAAACAAACAAACAAACACTTGTTATTCCATCAAAAAGACCTACTACATATACCTATGGTGGTACACCGAGGGGGGGGGGGGTTTATGTTTTTTTCCTATCTACTTCATTCAATTAGATACAGATACAGGCGTATTATATAGTCTTAATATAGCTATATAGATCGAATCGATTATGAATTTACTACTACTACTATATATCTATATTATATAATTATAAGCTATAATATATATATATATATATAATAGTCGGCTCTTTTAAGCGGTCTTCTAGTTCCTAGTCGGGGAAAGCGGTTGTCCTTAAAAATTTTAGTAGGGATTTTATTTAATTCTTAAAAAAAGAATAATAGATTTGATATTATTAAATTACTATAATCTTATTAAATTCAATAATATAATTTACTACATTTAGCTTTAACTTTATTTATTATAATAAATGTAATAAATAAATAATAGAAATCAATATTTTATTAATAATTATATAATTTATAAAGGTTGTAATTGATATAATTCAATTATTATGGTATTTTCGAAGTTTTTTAGGGACAATCGTTTTCCGGGGATAATCGCTTTCCCCGACTAGGAACTAGGAGGCTGCTTGAAAGAGCCGACTATTACCTCTTAACCTCTCTTACTTCCTCCTATACTTCTCCTTATATGATATAGAATAGTAGATAAGTTAATTTATAATTCTTATTATAGTTATTTCTAATAACTAATAACCTTAATATAAATACTTAAAATTAATTTATACTGCTAAGATTCTTAAATAAAATAAAATTATAACTCGTAGAGCTTAATCTATTTTATAACTCGATATATTTAATATAATTATAACTAATCAATTAATTAATCAACTAGCTTATTAACTAGCTTATTAACTACTTAATATCTTTATTAAACTATACTAGATAATAAAAATGAATTTAATAAATAAAAAGAGGCTAAATATTCAAATACGTAATAAAATTCTTAATTTCTGATATAATAATCGATTATATATTATAGATATAATAGATATCTATCTATAAACTCTAACTATCTAGATGATTTTATTTATTAATATTTTAACCTCTTTATTATATTAGATTATATTATACTCTATTATGTAAAATCGTATTATATTTTATTATATAAACTATATTATATTATATTAATTAAATTTATAAATTGACTGAAAATACAATCTCAAAAATTAATTCTAAAATTGAATCTCAAAAACTATTATAGAATATATAGTATAATATTTAATAAAGAAAATTCTAGATAAAATATCTACTATTCTTAATAATACTAATACTAATACTAATACTATTACGATTACAATTTATAATATTATCGTTACCCTCGCGATTATATAAAATCTATTTACTGAGATAATCTTATAAATATTAATAATCTATTAATATTAACATCAATATTTATAAAACATCTAATAGGGTTTATATTTATTCATTCCTTTATCTACAATAAAAGGACTTTAGTAATTCATCAACTTTTTAGTAATTTATAACTTTTGATGATAATTCTTATAATTTTTATTCTTTTAATAATATAAATAGATATTTATAATTAAATTAAATTAATAATTATTTTATATAGTTTAGAATATCTTTATCTTTTATAAATAAAAAGTTAAAAAAATTGATTCGATTCACTAGGAGAGTTTATATTAATAAAAAAAAGGTTAACGAATTGCTAAAAAATTAATAAATTACTAAGACTCTTTACTAATACAATAAAAGATAAAAAGAATCGTAACCCCGATTATCTTATTTCTAATATTCACTACTCTCTTTCTTATAACTCTACTCCGAGTCTCTAAATAATATAAATAAACCAAAAATTCAAGATTAAAATAAGATAAATAAATAAATATAAATTCATGTCTTCTTATCTTTCCTTCCTTCTTTCCTTTCCTTACTTTATAATATCTCATAATTATAATCAAGAAAAGAAAAGAAAAGAAAAGAAAAGAAAAGAATACTAAAAAGATAGTTAGTTATTGATAACTATTGATTAGATAGATATTTTTCCTATTTCTTTTTCTCCTTTCTAAGAAGGAACCTCTCTCCCCTCTCTCCCCTCTCTCCCCTCTCTCCCGCTCTTCCCCTCTCTCCCCTCTCTCCCCTCTCTCCCCTCTCTCCTCCCTCAAACCCCTTCCCCTCCTCATCCCTTATCCATCCTCCACCTCTTCACTTAATTCTTCACCCCCTCCCCATCCCAATCCCATCCCTCTCCCATCCCTCTCCCTTCCCTCCTCCCTTTCCTCCTCCCTTCCCTCCTCCCTTTCCTTCTCCCTTCCCTCCTCCCTTCCCTCCTCCCTTCCCTCCTCCCTTCCCTCCTCCCTTTCCTCCTCCCTTCCCTCCTCCCTTTCCTCCTCCCTTCCCTCCTCCCTTCCCTCCTCCCCCATCTCAAAACCCAAAACCCAAGAAACAAAACAAAAGAAAAGAAAAGACTAAAACAAGAAAGAGAAAAGAAGAGAAAAGAAAAGAAGAGCAAAACTACAAAGAGAGTAAAGTACCTACATATACATACCTGTATACACACCCACACCCACACCCACGCCCACGCCCACAATATCCTCACATCCCCTCTCCCCGAAGAATTATCCATACAAAAATCTCCACATACACATACACATATACACACATTACAACACACTCAGAGAGAGAGAGAGAGAGAGAATACAAATACAACAAACACAATCACAAAATCACAACACAACACAACACTTCACACCAAGCCCCAAACATTCAAACCCAAAACAAACGTATCAAATTGGTATAACTACCTACCTACAACGAGTAAATATCCAGAGCCGAAAAAAGTTGCAAGAAGTGCTACCTAGGTATCTCCCCCATCTCACTGGTATGGTATCTAATCATTCATAAACACCCGCAAAAAGTGTCAAACATATCCCCCAAACCAATTTCTCAATTCGGCCAGGAATTCCATCCAGTTTTGATTGCCATATCCCTCGATACCTGCCTCAAAGGTCCAGAAATCCATCGCAGACAAAAGAAATTCAATCCCTCGACCATCTCTGCATTCTACATTCTCCATGCTCCAGTCTCCAATATCTTATTCATACCCCACCCTTCCCCTATCTCTTCCACTACCCGTCAATGAACCCTCGACCAATCCACCCTTAATAAATGGTTCCCTAGTCCCCAAATGTCCCCTATCCCTTCCATTCGTACTTGTTCTCGGTCTTTGAGTTGTCGTTTCTCTCCTAAACACTGTATTTGCCTTTGGAATATCATTCAACCCACTCTCCGGCGTATTCGCCGCCTCGACCAATAATAACCCTGAAGGAGCCGCTACACCATGACCCTTGCCCTTTTTATTCCACTGCGGTGCCTCTTCAAATTGAGGCGTGAAATCCAATAATGGTTTTGTTTTTTTACTACTGGGACTACGTTGAAGACCTGTGTTAGCTACTTCTAAACGTCTGGCTTTCGTAGGCATCGACATTGCTCGAGATTGAGCGCTGCCATTTATGAGAGTTGGACCATCTGTGAAAGATCCATTTTTGAGACTATTTTCTCGATCCTGTAGTGCTTTTTGACGGACCGAATATGTTCTTCCCAATAATCCACCCGATGCGAATTGATCTTCTTGAGGTGGTGCTCGGTATGCTACCGGCGGTCTCTCTTGTACGAGGCGAGGAAGAGGTGCTATTGTAGATGTATTTCGTAGATGAAAAGGAATTTGCATCGGCCTTTCATCCTCGGTTGAATCATCTGCTTCTGATTTATCGAAACGGTCCATGTCAAGTAATGGCTTAAATGATCCGATCATGTATGGATCTTCATCCACCGAAACATTTACCCTATGTGTGTGAACACCTTTAACTCCCGTTCCTGGCCCTGACGCAATTTTTGTTTTCATCGTCTTGACAGTTTTGGTAGCTTTCTTCTGACCTTCACCCTTTTTGTTTACCAAATACCAACTTCTCCATCTCTGAACAGCTGAGTACCACGCATTTGCCGCAATGTGATCATCAGTACAAAAGAAGTGTACAAAATTTTCTGCACTCAAAAACATGGCAGTTTTCTGTTGACTCTTGATAGCATAACAATTCTTCCTTGGTGGTTTGAGTGTTTTCCTAATTTGTTGTGCGGTTGGGGTATAGATATCGAAATCAGATAAATGACAAATATTCATTGAATCTTTGTCGTTGATACCCACCCCCGACTTTTTCGAGACAAATACTTGACCCGAAGAAAGAAGTGTAATATAACGTTTGTTCCATTTGCCGGGTTTCTGAGAATGATAAAGCTGCACCGTCACATCTTGAGGCGCATCTGTGGGTACCGATGATGCGTCAAGGTCTTCTTCATGATCATAAGAATCGCAACCTTCCACAATTAAAGAATTTTGTGTATCTCTATCCCAAGAATTCATAATATCTCTAATATGTTCATAACGACGAATTTTGCGCTCTAGACCAAGAGTTGTGTATGATTCCAACAATACAGCAGTGTGTGGATCGATATGGGTCGACATGATATTCGCAGCAGAATTTATAATATCCATGGGAGTAGTGTCTCCGTCGACTGGTAGGTTGATTGATGACTGTTTACAGCGAATCAAAACTCTCTAAAATAAAATTGTCAGTTCTGTTTTTACATTAGACATAGTAGACTTACTCTCTCCGGCGCATTTGAAGCTGAAATTGGAGCATCGGTTTGCGGTACTATTCCTCCTCCACCCTGTTGTATACCCACAGGATTGATGACAGGGGCATCATTTCTAGGAGGACCATCACCTATCGTACGCTGTATTGATGCAATATTATCCAGGACCGAAGGTAGGGGCGGTTTGGTGGTTGTAGTAGCACGTCTTTTACTGCTGAAAAATGCGAACTTCTGAGGGGGGCTCTTGACCGAGTCATTTGCAGCGGCATCCAACGTTGCTTCCAATCGCTCCAAATCCTTGCGCTTCTGTTCTGCCAAGATCCTCTCCGTCTCCTCATCACTCAATTGAACCGGGAGAGAAACCGGTGGAGGGGAATGCGATGGCGAGAGGAGGATTTGTTGATTTATGCCATTGTCACTATTGTAATTTGGTTCATAACTCTGCTGTCGCTCATCGTAATTTTGGGATTCCCCCGTCGCTCCCAAGTGGGTTTGCGATCGCTTGGGAATGGGGCGTCTCGTTTGCGCATAGTTTGATGGAAGGCCAATGGCCGAATCAACTGGATCTGTTGTTCGCCTTGTCATTGGAATTCTCGCGGCGGGATTTGGAGATGTCGATTGGACATGTGAGACTGGTAACGAGGGTACTGGGGGCGAATGATCGTTTTGGGGGGCCACCTTTGGACGTCGATATCTGGACATACTTTTTGTCCTCGACAAGGAAGTATTTTGATTTTGTTGAACATCTTGTGTTGGAGGTGCGGGATCGGGTTTTGCTGGCAAGGCTCTTACTGATCTGTATCTCGAATATTTTTGTTGTGTGGGTTGTGCAGGTTGAGGGGATTGAATCTTTTCTTCCGACATGATGAATGGAATGATGTGAAACGAAACAAATGGGATAATCAGTGAGGAAAAAGGAGTAAAATGCAAAAGTTGCGAATCATAAGTAATAAAGGGTCGTTCTATGATGTATTGAAGATTTAGTAATTACTCTTATGGGCATTATTTTCCCCGTTGAATTGATAGAAAGAGTAAAGAAGAATTAAGTGAGGGAAGAGGGAGGAGAGAAGAGAAGAGTAGAGTAGAGGGGAGGAGGAGGGGAGAAATTGATAATGTAGAATGGGTAGTAAGTCAGGAGGTTAGGTTAGGTAGGTATGTTTGAGTGAGTGAGTGAGTAAGAAGTACCCAGGTATTATTATTATGATGTAAGAAGAATTGAATTGTATGGGTGAGAGGGTGAGAGGGTGAGTGAGTGAGCGAATGAATGAGTGAATGAATTGATTGATTGAATGATTGAATGATTGATTGAATGATTGATTGAATGATTGATTGATTGATTGAATGAATCGAATTTACCCCCAGATTTGAAATGTATGACCGCCCACTTAATAAATCATGTACCTGCAGATGGGAAAAGCAGTGCTAAACCGGGCTGTGGGTGAGGATGAGGTGATAAGTGGATGGTGGATGGATGGATGGTGGGTTGGAGGGTTGGTGAGTGGGTGGGTGGGTGAAATGGGTCGTGGCTTGAATGATGAATGATGAATGATGAATGAGCGTAATTTTAATAAATTTGGTAAATATAATAACAAGTATTTTGGGATGTAATAAAGATGTAATAAAGATGTATGTAATATTGTAGACATATAGTAAATAGATAGCAAGTAATAAATATCATATATCTTCCTTCTTTTCTCTCTTTCCTCCCTCCTCTACTTCTACTTGTACTTCTCCTCATACTTTGTCCTTCTCCATCTCATTTCCTTTCCTTCACTGCTCTCCTCCATGGTGAAGGACATGATAATATTAAATCAATAAACACCCGACCATCACCAGATCATGCCCACGACCATCCTGTAACCTTACTCCCTTCCTAGGCATCCCGAGAAATCCAAAAATACCTTTTCTTTTGCCTTTCCCACTGAACGTTATTCTGCCCGTGGAATGGGAAGGGAGAGGAATGGAATGTTGGGCTTGGACGGTGAACTTGCTTGGACGGTGTTCCTCCACTCAAGACTTGGCCCATCTGATGATTTTACACATGATACATCCCTTTCCCCCGTGCCCCCTACGATACGCAAAAGTTAGATGATCTCCCGAATAATGTGGGGGAATTTCCCTTGGAGCTAAGGGAAACAGGGCAGGGGAGGCAGCAGGGGACGCAGTCTTGGAGCCAGTCTTGGGAGCAGGGAGCAGTCTCGGAATGGGAGTTGTAGTCGCAGTCATAGTTGTAGTCTTGTTTTTTATATATGTACATTTATATACATTTATATATATTCACATAGATTCATATATAGTCATATACATTCATATATAGTCATATACATTCATATACATTCATACTCAATCCTGCTCAACAAGTCATTAACAAGACTAATAGAACCAATCATATCCGCCTCCCTCCAATTTCTCTCTACCAGCAGGAATCATAGTCATTCCAGTAGGTACCTAGCACATCCACTCGCCCACTCTATTACATGATGAAACCAACATTCGGGAAAATGGGGTAATATCGACTCAAACGACGATCCATCCCTCTCCATATCGTACTCGAGTATACGATATTAATCACAAAGCTATTTCAGTGCCAGACATACCATACATATATCCGACATACAGAGTAGATTACACACCTTCAAGGCATAAACCATTTGGTATGGATGCCCAAGTCATGTTTATCTCTACTCCCGCTATCCATCAATAGTGTCCTCTCAGAAAAGAAGTAAACCTTCCATCGCCCGTAGATAGATGTCGATAGGTAGATACCTAATGATCAATAAACAAATGCCCCATGCGCACGAGAGTTCATCCTCGCGCGCCCTCCCATCCCATCCAATTTCATCGGGTGCGCCGACCAAATTCCTCGCAAATGTCTCGCGTGCTAATTAAAAGCCTCTCCATCAAGAACACATTCGATATCCAAACAAAAGCAAATTCCAGCAAGTAGGAAGATCGAAAACTAGCTAAGATACCTGTCGGTCTGTCTGTCTGTCTGTCTTTCTGTCTGTCTGTCTGTCTCGTCGCTCTACCCACCTATCTAATATAGTATCGTACTACTGTACCGTATACCTAGTACCCGTCACTCCATTTCACACATCTCATAACAACATCTCACACTGATGTACAATGATGTACCATCACCCTCAAATTGCATCATCCAGTCAACTTACCAACACAACACTAATACCCAAACACGCCAAGAACATGATGGCTTAAAGATGGTCATTTAATCCATTGATTCAATTAATCCATCCCATCCCATCCCATCCCATCCCATCCCATCCCATCCCATCCCATCACATTCATAGTTAAAAATCAGATCCAATCCGATCAGATCAGATCAGACGACAAAACAAACAAACAAACAACCCAATCCATCTTTGATACACCCACTCATCCATCTCCAAGAGCGCGCCAAACTATCCACCATCCCTAGCTAGTATGAGGAAGGAACAAATCCTCTTCCTCTTCCTTTCTCCTTCTCCCTTATTCTTAGTTTCAATTCTGTTTATGGGATACTAACTCAACTATCTAGATATCCATAAGGTTACCTACCTAGCTAACAGCAACAGAGTAACGTTAAGGAACAAAATGGAAACTTCATATGTGATTCAATTGCCAGTACCTATGTAGTGTTGCTTGGGCTTCTTGATCCTAGGTAATCTTACCTACCTAGTATGTAGGTATGATTAGCTATCCGGTAAATTCGATATTTCTCGGTATGTGTACTCGTATCATAGCGTAGGTATCTCCTAGATGGATATCTTATTTTCATTCCTCATTTCAATTCAAATTCAAATCCAAAAATCAAATCCAAAAATCAAATCCAAAATAGAAATAAAATTAAAAACCAAATCCCAATTAAATTTCACCATCATCAAAAGATCTTCACTTACATAACCTTATAAACTTTCTCCATCTCCATCTCCATCCCTATCCCTATCCATCTCCATCCCAAAATTATCAAAAAAATACATACTAGATACTAGATACTAGATACTAATCAATCAGATCAGATCATACGGAGAATAAACTTAGATTCCTTGTTCCCGAATCCCGAGAAGCATCGCGGAACTCTGTCTCCCGCCCGCCCGGAAATTGGGATGAGCAGCTAGATGAGCAGCTAGAGATGAGTCGATCGATTGGGTTTGAGATGAGTATTGAGTATTGAGTATTTTGCATCGATTTATAATTATCTGGATAGAAGAGAAGGGAAGGGGGGGTTTTTTGACTGGACTGGATTGGACTGGACTGGACTGGACTGGAATTGAAAAATTTGGGTTGGGGTTGGGTTTTGATAAGGAGGGAGGGAGATGAATAGTAGGTAGGTAGATATGTATTAATTATTAATACTTATCTACTATCTATTTAATACCTATCTATTACTACTTACATAATACTATATTCAAAACCTATTTATCTACTATTAAGATAGTAGGTAATGGATATAATATTATATATAATATATATAGTATACAGTACTAGGCATTAAGTTTGCGCGAAAGGCCTTTTTCCACCAAAACTCACCTTCTTTAGAATATGATTAAAAATCAACCACCAGTTTCAATAAGATCAAAATTGATAAATTGATAAAAATTCATTAATTTATCAATAAAAAACAAATAAATTATTTTTATTGATTTTTATTTTGATTGAAAAAGACTTTGAATTCGAAATCTCTTAAAAACTTATAAAATTCGCTTAATTTTGGTGTAGAAATTGATTCCTAAAAAAATATTCAATTTCAATCTTATATATTCTATTAAATAAACAATACATATCTATAAGATTATAATATAATTAAATTCAATTGATTCTAATTTTATAAATATAAAATTTATTAAAAAATATTTAGCATATAAAGATTAGTATTCAATTGAAATTGAGATATTGATATTCTTACTTTCTAATATAATTGAATAGGATTACATTCAAAAATGATTTAATATAATATTTCTTTTTGTATTATATAATTTAATTAATTTTTTATAGAAATTCAAAATCTGAAAGGGATTTATTAAAGAATTAATTTATAATTATTTATTGAAATGATTGAGTTTATTCGAAGAATCAATTCGCGCGAACTTAGCTGAGGTTGCTGTATATATTTTTTTTTTTTTTTTATTTTTTTTTTTTATAAGATCTTATTATTTATTAATAGAAAGAATAATAAATATATTAAATACTCTCTCGAGACTCTGTAAGATATATCGATTACTAATTATTACGAGAATTATTAAGAGTTTTGATTTATATTATAGATTAGCGGGTTTTGTAAAGTAGAGGAATTAGAATAGATTTTATTATTATAAGATGCTTATAGTTAAGATTAATAGTCGACTCTCTATAAATCAGTTATCTCGTTTCGAGTAGAGTAAAGTAAGTATTTCTCTAGTATTTTTATTATAAAAAATTAGAAATTCATTTATAGTCTTGTTAATAATTAAATATTTCTAATAATAATATCTTAAATCTTAATAAATTTAATTATATAATTTATTTAAAATTATTTAAAATTTCAACGTTATATATTGAAAATAAGATATTTTGTTGACTTTATATTTGTATTTTGCTATGATTCATTAGAATCAGAAAGGAACCTTGAATGAGAAAAGTAAATAGATATAGTTGATAATAATAAGATTTTTAGGAAAATATTAATCTCTGCTATTAAAGAGAGTATAGATCGTTTAAATCAGTAGAAGAATGAGCAAGACCGAAAGATCATTCTTACTCGACTGAAAGAACAAGCGATGAACAGTACACTTCTCTATCGATCTCTTCTCAAGCTCGAGTCGACCATAATTTATTATTCCCTAACCTAGAATTAGCTCGATCTTCTCCGGTTCTAACTTTTCCCATTCTTCTGCCTTCACCTTCCCGCTAGCAAGACGATATGCAATACCATCCTTCCATTCCACCCATAATACTGTATACTCATCAAATCTTTGCAAAGGGTGTTCATATATCTTTTTAACTTCATTCAATGTCTTTGAATATACTCGTGACTTGTACAAAGCTATTAGCTCCACCGGCAACCCGTGAATAGCCTCGGAATCTATGCTTGGGAAGAGAGACAGGTCAGCTTCGTTGTGTAATTTCAGAAAGCCAATATCCTCCCCAGAGCTATTAAAAATTCTGGCAATGTTTCCTTCGCTAGCCTGTCGTCCCCAAAGGCGCGCCCTCCACGTCTTGCAAAACAAATAGGATGTCTGCTCAGGCGTGACTGGCGGCGTTGAGTTATGGATATCGGGGACCGGGAATGGATAGTACCACAAATCGGGCATGTCCGCATGTTTGAAAATGTATTTCCCACACCCATCTGGGTGCAAGTGAGGTTCTCCCCTCAACGATCCTGTGTCGGGGGCGTCGTGGCACGACCAGCCAGTAGGCAATGGCTTCGCAAAATCCTTGTTATTATCGCGATTTTCAAACCACGTGGACCTGATTCTCCTTCTATTTTCCGGCAAGTCGCTGGAAGACTTGCTCGTGTACCACTCTGTGATCGGAATTGTTTCTTCAATCCGACATGGGTTGCCGACGATTCGAGCCGCCTCGCCGCACCTGAAGATGTCAAGGTTACCGTGCCAGCCGACCCAAGACCATGATGGCAAGCCTGCCCGAGACGGACGGTCCTTTCCAAATCGTTCTGAAAAATTACGTCGTCGGATGTTCCGGTCGTTCCAGTAGGGATACCAGCCTAATCCTCGTTCGAAGAACATTTCCGGGATGCCGTACAAGAATCCGCCAGAGAATGTACGACTCAGGACTGACAGCAACCCAGAGATAGCGGGTAAAGCGTCCTCGTCGTACCGAAGTTCTGTTACATTGAATGTTGTGAGGATATAGCTCAGAGAAAACAAGTCAGGAAAGCCAGCCGTGATGACATTCTGCCGTGGGTCGATGTATTTGTCAATTTCTGCGTCGGGAATCATCTCTTCATGCTAAACGCTACACTGACACTGCTAGTGCAGCTCTTTTTTCCTGAACATCATCTTTCTTCTCGACAGACGATGCTCCTGAAACGTCCAACCTCGGCTAAGATAATCGCCTCCCTCCGATAAACCGAAAACACCTGTATTCCTCACAATAAGTTGCTCACTACCGAAGAGAATAATGCGTTGGTTCATGTCTCTGGATTGAGAAGCACCATCCAGACCACGAAGCCCATCTTGTGCGTCGCCATCTGCAGCAACAATTGTGACGACTGCGTTACCGTAGATAGCGCCCATCATGTTCAGTTCCTCAGCTCTGAGTTCCTGGTTTGCGTGAGTGATACAGAGTGCATCTGCCCAGAGATACCGCTCGCTTATGACCGAGGTCAGGAACATGGCATGTCGGATTACTGGCGACAAAAATTCTTCAAACTCCGGCGCATCCAGAGCATATGGCTCCTGCAGCCTTTCGAGCATCACGGCGTCAATTGTAGGAACAGGCGATCTCCCGTACCTATAACTTAGTGCCACAAAAGCGCCAGAGACACAACCCGCGACAAGGCACTTGGTCTTCACGTCGATCAAAAATGCGGGCCTTTTCGGCCAAATCTTCCACGGATTCTCGCATTTCGCACCATGTGTTGAAAGACACTGCTTTTTCCACCGATTCAGCATTTCTACATCAAGCCAACCAGGGTTCAGAATTCGACCAATACCAGGATGGCCCGGTACGGACTCCTTCCTCACTAGCAACAGATTCCAGCAAAAACCCCCGATTGAGATCGACTCTACAATCTTGACGCTGCTCCCTAAACCTCCAGAGCCGATGCCAAGGTCACCTCTTTCTTGCCTTGGACGCTTTGGGTATGAGCGCAAATGGTCAACAAAAGCTTGTACCAAGGGTTTATGTGTACGGCACTGTGTGGCGAGAGCCTCCGCAATATAGCCCAGATTGACCGGATCTGCCGAATCGGGCTGTGAAAAACAACGCCAAATGTTTTGGCAAGTTTCGCACTCGCTCATCAATTCCGATAAAGAGGCGACTGAATTCTGCTGATCACAGGCGTCGAGATCACCCGGAATTGCTGGAGCCTTGAGAAGTTCTTGGCTGCCAAGTTCCTGTGACAGTGTCAACATGCTTTTATACTCTGAAAGATCAGCGTACCAACCTGATTGCTGCTTTGCGTCATCCATTGATGATCTTGGATTTCTTCTTGTGAGGCGTGTGCCATCTGAGCCGTGAGATGAATAACGCGGTGCGAAGTCAAAGTTTGTACCACTAACGATACGGGTGACTATAGACACTCCAGAAATCAAAGCGTCTACCTGTGTTTAAGAGATCTGACGCTGAAAGGTAATACTGAACAACGACTGATGACTTTGATAACTTGTGCCTGTGAGAGTTGTCAAAGTGGAAGGTTGTAGAGTGAGAAATAATATCACACTTGGTGCGGAGTTCAAGATCGCGTGGTGAAGAGGACGAGGCTGACGATGCTGTAACACCACCGAGGCCGACCACGATCATTCCGAAATTTTAATGAAAATAGATTTTTACCTGACACATGATCTTTTATTACTGTTGGTATCACCATGGAAATGGTGAAGATTCAATAGTACCATGGTTTCAAACTATGTAATATTGCTTAAGGAGCCAGAATTAAGACCACGAAACTAGAGGTAGATCATGCCCAGGTGCTAGCGCAACTGAGACCACGTGAATTTTACACCATATGATCTCTATCCCAACAATTACGAAGATAACATACCTGATACTCTTGATATTCCCATGTATATATTTCCAAACTAGCTGTTTATGTCCGAGGTGAAATCCCTGAGAGGATATGATGTGGAAGTAATACTATATGTCTCGTCTCGTGACGTGGCTCTCGAAATTTCCTGCTATGATATTCTTGCAGAGGGCTTTACAATCCCTAAGTGACGATATATCCTCGAGCAACGACAATCATAGAGTATCAATTTTCTACTTGAAGTTGCATGGTTTGCATTAGTCGTGCGTGGAGACCAACTCTTGAGGCGTTTAATAAGCTCGACAGTCCATCAATCTGCGCAAGGCGCCTGCTCAGTTGTGACTTTGATGCTTTATCGAGCAGATACTTGTTGAATCGAGAAATATAGTGAATGAAATGTATATTATGTGGCATCTCGAAATCGTATCTCAATTTCAACGTCAATCACTCGCAAAGTGTCGGAGGTACGGTGTGTCTGGTAAGATCAACACATTGCTCATGTGAGGCTATTTTATTATAGTATTTTCGTCGTTTCCGAGGATATGGCTCATGGTGTACAACCGATGTAGAGGATTGAAGACGCCGCAGATATAGATGTTGTAAATGAATCGATAGCTACTCCGTTGAATAATCTTTCATGCGATGCTTTTTTAGCCGATCACCAATCACTATTCGGTAGATTTGGTAAAAAAAAATATGTATAAATATGACTCCTGGTACCTTTATGCCGCAACATCACCCAATCAATGAATATTTCCTACGAGAAATGGTCTCTAATCCATCGTAAGTAGACTTAATGAATCCAAACCTTGGGAGTCTCTGTGCATCCTCAACTTTACCTCACAAATAAGGGACACTGTCTGAATTGAATGAATATCTGGAAACAGAATGAATACTAAGAACTTTGGAAACTGAATACAATTAAGATTTGATATTATCCACTTCTACATTGTCACCTCCGAGCAGTTTGCAAATCATTATCAGTCGAAGAACGACGCATCTCCACAGTCCTACTTACTGAGCTCATCAAAAATTGAGTACAAAGTGTGAATGCCGATGATTATTCTTGCCAGATAGCCTCAATGATAGCAAGGGATGCTCCAATCGGTTTCAAAATCTTCAAACCCCCAAAACGAGGATCAGCTTCAAGGAAAAGATCCTGCCACTCTTGCGCTTTTCGCTCTCTAGAATTATGCATACTCAGCATAATCATATCGAGAGAACTAGTAAAATTTGGATTATCCAGCGACATGGGTAATAATAGTTGTACCGAATTGACCGTTCACTGGAAAGTGAAACAGAATCCGAAGGCGGATTCAAAAGCTCATTCACAATGACCCGAGCGCCAGTTTTCATCACCGGAAAAAGGGTGCGCAGAATAGCGACAACATACTTATCAGGCCAGATGTGGAAGATCCAGCGGAATAGATATGCATCGGCGACCACGGTTTGCGGAGTGAAGAAGTCACACCCTTGAAATGTCACACGATCCGCGATACTAGCATCAAGCTTCAATTTGGCACTTTCGATAACGTTAGGGAGATCTTGTACGATGAAATGCAGCCTAGGGAACCTCTTTGCAAGATACTAATATGGCCTTTCGAACCACCAACGTCAACGACGGTGCCGTTGATAAATTCCCATGGATTCCTTCTGATCCGATGCAAAAGTCGACTGGTCCTTCAGCATCAAGGACGGTGAGGCTAAGTCATATTGGCGAACATACTCGTCGACCCTCTTCGTATTTTCAGCGACTTGAGTAGCGAGCTCTACGATACGCGTAGTAGCCATCGGGGATTAAGCCAGATTGAGATTGGTTGAAATGGAGTAATACAAAGAACAGTGCAAAATGGAAGCAAGCTCCCAAGGAGTACAACGTAGAAATTTATGAGACTTTAAAAAATAGAAATTCTTAAGCTTCAATTCCAAGATAGAAGTCATGGGGTCTCAGGCGCTTTTTGCAAGGGCACAACGTGGCATACACCATCAAACAACAAAGCTTCTCTCGTATGCTATCATTTCCTTGGATGCTTAATAATATGACATCTAAGAACAAGGAAGATCAACGCTAGTTTAGCAATCTCAGAGGTAAATAGCTACCGTAAGAGGACGAACCAATTCCGTATGTTGCAAAGCATGCGGAGGAAACTGGATATCTCTGTCGGAAGTTTTCGTTCTAGGTAAGAAAAGATTTGGAACCCGATGTCGACGGACCTAAATGACATGTTCCAAATGTAGTTACCATGCGCTGCATCTACTACGTGCATACCGGAAGGTAAGAAGAAGGAATTTAACATGAACATCAGCATGCGTGCAAGTCGAGGTATTTGTGATGGATCAAGTTGATTGGCTGTTGACCCCAGTCACATATGCCCTACTCTATCTCAAAGCTTTTCCCATCTCTCGTCCCGGAAGCTCCCTCACTTGTGTCAACTCCATGATCCGTTTTGGATGAGAACATCATAAGAATCCAAAAAATTAAGAATGCACCTCTGCATTTCAGGGCCCAAGCAAGAAGCTATCTCAAATGCCTAATAATGAGATGCCCCATAACGACTTTCCATAAGTACATCAGAACTACGGCTGTTGCTGCAAGTTAACAAGAAAGAAGAACATATTGCCGGATTTCTAACTGCAAGTATTACTATGAACACTAGCTCACGATGCCATTGCTTTCCTTCCTTGGTATAGATATTTTATTAAAGTATACGAAAGCACTCAAACCTTTGAATCAGTCTGACTTTTTCATAGCTACTAGAATCGGGCTCCCAGTTCGAAAGCCATTACATAGGTAGCACTGTCTAAAAAGAGGGGGAAAATAGGAAAGACTCGAAAGATCTTAGATCGTTTTGCCAATGATAGCCATTGAAGTACATTGAACTACTTGAACTTCCAGTCTTGAGACACGAGACGTTGTTCCTAGATATTCCATTGTGATACGAATTTGACCAATAATGGAATTCTGGGTGAGAGAACACTACTATTGTGGTACATGGGAGCGTGTTCAGCTACTACCTTTGCATCCCAGCTTGATGCTTTCTACTTCCTAAAAGCATTCATCTCTCTCCTCCAAAATCCAGTAAAATCCATCGTAGCAACATTGATTCCCAAGTCCTTCAATGCCTTTGTAGACAAATGACAATCATAAGGTCTCTGCACACTAGCATTTGGATCATTTCCCTCTGTATTTGCGACCATACCATCCAGCGGCAATCCCAAAATCTCCGCAAAGAGTTGGCAGATCTCATATTTTGTAAATTTATCCTCTGAAGAAAATTGCAAGACTCGTGGTAAAGATGATGGGTCTTTACTTTCAAGATATTTGGTTGCAATCTCTGACAAAACTCGACCTACATCTTCTGTATTGGTAGGATAGCGCAGGGCCCAATGATCCATTTTGACATTGGCATCTTTTTCTTGGGCTTTCCAGACCGATTTGACAAGTACACCAACTGCACTTTCTTCGGGTTCACCTTCTCCGTAGAGTACAGGAACTCTCAAGACCACTCCCAGACCCGATTTGCCTACTTTCTCATATTCTGCCAATACGGCTTTCTCGCCCTCATGTTTTGTTTCTCCATATAGATTCGGGGGTTTTACGGTGTGGCTTGTCTCGTAAGGAGCATCACCTTCGGTGCCAGGGAAAACATAATCGGTCGAGATGTAGATAAGGAGGATGGATTGTTCGGCGCAGAGTTTGGCCAATGAGGCAGAAGCTGCGATATTGAGAGCGCGTGTTCCTTCAGGATCGCTGTCGCATTTGTCTGGGAATCTATTCGCTGCACCTGTAATCGCGGGGTTAGCAATGGCGACAACGACGAGGTAGCAGCGCTGACAGAAACTCACAATGAATTACGACTTGAGGTCTTCAAATACTCTTACCGTCAGTACTGCATTGAAAATCGTGAAGATGTTACATTACTTGGATTCATTCAACGCCTTTGAAACTTCAGACTCGGAAGCCAAATCTACCTTGAGAATGGTAGGAGGCTTTGCGCGCGAGAATCCGGTGCCCACTGTATTCCAATTTTCTCGATCAAATACTTTTAAAACTTGTCTGCCAAGTAAACCAGTTGCGCCTGTGATGAGCGCGGTCTTCGTCATGATGAATATATCGATGTGGTTGTGATATATCGAGTTGGGGGGTAGTGGGTTGAGTTGACAAAGTTATTGTTCTTGTCCTTGTTCTTCGACCTTCCTGATTTGCTGGGTACGTTGAATATAACAGGCACATTTACATCATCGATGGGGAATTTGCATATGGCTTGATTAGACTTATTACCTGTGGAATTATCTGTTACATTGCTCTCCAAAGATAATGTTCTCTCCATATAGTGTTGGCACAATAGTCATCGCGACAGCTACCTACTGTAGATAGATAACCTACAAATCATCACAACACAATCAAAATCATCAGCACAACACCAAAGCTTCAATCTGCCATGAAGAATATGGTTTCAATTACATGCTTGCTACATACACATCAATCTCTCAAGCCGTTCTCTCACACTTGAGTCCTGCTGCCTCTTTGCCCCTCGTCGTCATCATCAGCACGTGGCCTTCAATTCTTCTTCACGTCAGCCTACAAGAAGCCGAACCGCAATGAAAAACAATAAAATAGATCTCTTACGAGAAGATGTTTGGTTCCAAAGATTCCCAGGCCAGCCGAAGCCAACCTGGAGTGGTCATGGTTATAGTTTTCAACTAGCAAAAACGCAATCTCGGACGAATCCTCACTGATATGCGTAAAACCCATGCACTAAGATGAAGAAAAAAGAAGGGAATGCAAAGGGAGAAGAGGAGACTTTATACATTTTTCGCTAGTGGAAATTTTGGGCTGATTGCTGCAAATGTGACAAACTTGGCTGTATTGGGCGTAGATTCGGTTGGTGCGGCCGCAAATGGGTCAAAAAGTGGATAGATTAATAAGCATCTGCTGTTTTGGTGTGTTCCGTATTCACTCTCAGTCACTGTTTTTAAATGAAGCACCAGTGTGTCATGTGATGGGTCGGGATTGTGAATACCATCGATATAAACCTACTGATATTTTCATGCCTTAATAAGACTTGAATTTGACTGAATTATCTTCTCTTTACTCACTTGTAGGAAAAAATCATTTGTCCAAAAAGATATACATCGTTCACTCAAAGAATCTTGCATCTTTCTGCAAACCTACGTACTACCAACCCCTCATCTAGCTCAGATCACCCATAAATAGAGCCACCATGGACATCACTTTCCTCATTTAAGATTGTTGCTTATATTCTTGTCAGTTTCTTCGATATGATGGTCGCCGTACTTGGTGCTACCGCTCGTGAGAATTTGCAATCCTACTCTATCAAATTGAGCACTGGAAAGAAATTAGGTCACCGCAAGTACCATTCAGGGAATTCCTAGTAAGAGTTCTGGAACCTACTTACTGCACATATAACGCTTTTCCAACTAAAATATAGAATTATTTAACTTTTCATACTCTAATTTATATATTATAATAAAAGATAAAATCAGAAATTCTTCTGGGAAATGTTATTTAATTAATTAAATCTAATAAAAAAATGAATAGAATATTTTTTTCTAATTTTTTAAATAGAATTTGAAGGAGTTAAAATTGAAAATTCGAAATTTTTATGAAAATTCGCTTATTTTGTATAGGAAAAACATTACATATCAGAATTTTTAGAAAAATTCGATTTCAATACTATATAACTATTCAACAAAAATAATGAAAAATATTTCAAATAATTTTTTATATTTTGATTATAATTATTTATCATTTCCGATTTTTTTGAAAAGAAAATATGAAAATTTGAATGAAATTTCTAATATAATAATTTGTATGGGAAAACCTCATTTTTGCAGGGATTTTGTCACATTTATCACAGGGGTGCGGTAAGTAGGTTCCAGAACTCTTACATTCTCGTGAGCCAACTCGGATCACCAGATCTTGGAGCCACTGATCAGAAAACAAAAGCTCTGCATCTCTGCTTCCTGGTGTCTGCTTTCTCTGCATAGGCTCACAGGTTTGAATTGCAGCACAGCATTGATGATAGCATCAAAATGAAGCATATTTTATGCTGGATTTCCATTCTCAAATGATAACTGCATAGTTGCACATTCACCCCGCGACTGAGTAGTTACTCAACGTCTATGAAAGTGGTGCTGCCTTCGACATTCAAGCATCATCCTTTCGACTTTGCTTCGCGATCTATCCTAATCCAACTTATTTGTGACCTCGCAATGTATCCTATCCTATCCAAGCTTTGGAGATGATATCTTCAATGTTCTGAGGTCACAAGTATGACGGACGACGACCTCATTGTTCATTCATTATGTTAGCTTCGTACAACAGACGTATTATCAACTGATCTCTATTATCTGAATTTAGCCATATAGTTCGTCGCATTGTTATCGTAGCTGATTCGTATTTACCGTTGGGAGATTTGCTGCCCTGTATCTACCAAGTTTCGCACAGTCGAAGGTGACCATGATCTTAATTGATTCTATTTGCTTTGATATCTTGTCCTTGCGGCAGTGTACAACAATCCGGCGGTTGATCAATCAGATGTTGAAACTGTCTTGCATGTCTTAATACAAGTCCGCATTATTGGATTCGACCTTTGTTATTGATGCTTTGAATGAACCACCTTTCATTCACTGGACTGAGTCTTGAGTGGGAAATCAATAAAATAGATGTATTGTATGTATACGTTTATATCATTATCTGCAATGAATAGCACTGGGTGATCGATATTCACATTGCGTATGAGGTTTTTTTTTTTTTTTTTTTTTTTGACAAAACATCTTCGTCAACTGTTCAGAGATACCTAGTTGATTTGAGAATGGAATTGAACACAGATCGGAAATTGGTAACTTTACTTGATCGACCTGCAAACTTTTAAGATAACGTTTGAAGAGATTGATATCAGATACCAACTTACGTGATTCTGAATTGGTTGTGTATTGCGATATTTAATCTAATCTCTCGCCAATGATAATCTGCTGCAACTAAGGATTATTATCGTGATGGTTGAATGACACCTTTTCACAGCTACCCAATTAGGAAGTTCCTTTTCACTAGTCCCACAAATCAAAAAAACATTCGATTCATCTACATGAAAAGATACAATTGTATTTATCAATCTGGACTCTCTTCTACTGCTTAAACACAGCTTCCTCTTTATTTCTCTTTGGGTAGTGAATTACGTTAACAATTGCGGTAGTCCATTACAGAGTAGGATTTGTGCTCTATGACCTTCCCCTTCTTTCGGCAATCTTCAAACTTGCGGAAGGAGAGTTTCCCCACTTGGGTAACATAGCTCAATTCAAGCGTCCGATCACTAATGACTTTCCTAACGCAGTCACACCGCCGTGGCGATCTGTCAATCACCCACGCCTCATATCTTGCGTCGTCCAATGATTTTGGAGATTCAAGATAACCTTAAATGAATGAAGAAACCATGTGCGGGTGATTGTAACGATATGAAGGATAAAGAAACTCCAAAAGGCAGCTCGTAATGCAAGTAATTAATTCACCATTGGCTCAGAGGAGCAGGTACCGAGGCGATGCCGCAAGCTTGTGCGAGACAAGCCTACGCCTTTCCCTTGGCTAGTATTGGCATAAGTATGCCATGATGCCGCAGTTCTTCGTCGACGTCTTCTTCGTTGTAATCATTCTTACTTCGGCAAGATGCTTCTCCTCAATATTTTCTCCGTGGCATTTGCTGCGTCGGCAGTCCAAGCATTACCCACGTTCGGCAAATCCAGCGTTTTCGAGAAGATCGCTGCTCCACCACCAGGTTGGGAATTGGACGAGGATGCCGTATTCGACAAAGATGTGTCGACGATGAAGTTGAGATTGCATTTGATTGCACAGAACATGCCAGAATTTCACAAGATGGCCATGGATGTATGATTTCCCATTTCTCACATGTCATATGTAATGCTGGATTTGGATATGAGGAGAAGTCTTCTTAATTTATTGGGCATCTTGATATAGAAGCGAATCTAGGCTAAATTTCCGTAGATCGCTACACCTGGACATGCCCTTTATGGACGTCATCTTGACCAAACGGTGATCAATTCAATGATCGCACCAAAGACACAATCGCGTGACCTTGTATTGCAATGGCTGTCAACTGCGGGATTGGCAAACCAAACCAGTGTCTCAGCACGTGGTGACTCTGTTATTGTAGAAGCAAGTATCAGCCAGATTGAGGAACTTCTCCAAGCAGAGTACAACGCTTACGGTAAATTATCGATCTCGCCATAATTAATTCCAGTTTCTAACGATTTCTAGTTCACACTGGTTTGTACGAGGGTGCTATCCGAACTCTCGAATACAGTCTCCCTGATGCTTTGAAGGGCCATGTTGATATTGTTCAACCAACAACCTTCTTTGGTCTCCGTGCAATGCGTTCCGAAATCAAGCAACATAAGGAATTTGACGAAAGTGTGCTCAAGGTTGAGGGTACCGAAGCTGTCACAGGTTGCAGTGGTAGCACCATTACACCAACTTGTCTTGCCAACCTTTACTCATTCACCTCCGCCCCAGCTACATTGAAAAGTGGCTCAATAGGAATCGCTGGGTTTTTGAAGCAATGGCCATCCAAGACAGATTTGACCACCTTCATGAACAGCTATGCATACTTCGCCAATAAGGCATATACTTACACCTGTACCCTTATCAACGGCGGAACTTGCCCATCAAGTGGCAGTGGTTACCCAGGTATTGAAGCCAATCTTGATGTTCAATATGCTAGAGCCATTACATCAGAGATTCCTAACGTCTAGTGAGTTTTTTCATTAATCCATTTTTAATTATTTTAATTGACAAAATTTACTAACGGATCAAAGCTACTCAACTGGTGGATCTCCCCCCATTGTAGGCAGCGGTTCAAACACCAACGAACCTTACCTAGAATTCCTTGACTCCCTCCTCGCTGCTACTACACTTCCACAAACAATTTCCATCTCCTACGGTGATGATGAAGACACTGTTCCCTTGAGCTATGCTGATGAAGTTTGCAATCTCTTCTCTCAACTTGGTGCTCGTGGTGTGTCCGTTCTAGTTGCATCTGGAGATTCCGGTGTAGGAACTACTTGCGTTACCACTGGCACCACCAAAGGTTTCACTACTAGTTTCCCAGCTTCCTGCCCATGGGTGACTACTGTTGGTGGTACTACTGGTAACAGTCCTGAGTAAGTCATATTTCCCATGAGATAATTGTAAGAATGAAAGTACTAACTCCTAATAGGGCAGCCTGGGCTGATGGTGGTGGAGGATTCTCCTCTGTTTTCGGACAACCTTCCTACCAAACTACCGCTGTCAACACCTGGCTCACAACCGACACCACCCACAGCGCAGTAACCAAATACTTCAACGCATCCGGTCGTGCCTACCCCGATGTTTCCGCTCAAGCCACAAACTGTAAGAATACCGTCGCATTTTTCTTGATATCATTTACTGATATCTCTCTAGTCGTAATCGTCGCTTCCGGTAGTGCCGAACTCGTCGACGGTACCTCCTGCGCAACTCCAACCTTCAGTTCCGTAATCCAACTCATCAACTCTAACCGTGTTGCCGCCGGTAAAGCCGGTCTTGGATTCCTCAACCCATGGTTATACACAACCGCTAAATCCGCATTGACCGATATCAAAACTGGTAAGATTACCGGATGTTCTGGTGTTATTTCTGGTGCTGGTTTCTCGGCCGTTAGTGGTTGGGATCCTGCAACTGGATTGGGTACGCCTAACTACACCAAGTTGTTGGCAATCAGTAATTCTACTTAAGGAAATAATGAGATTATTGAACGAAAATGAAGTGGAAATCGGATTGGGTAACGGATTACGGTTATGAATTATGAGGATTTGGGCAGAGAAATGAAAGAACATATATGTAATATGCATGATCAGTTACAATATATCGACTAGCTCACAATGTTAATTCGAATATATTCCTCTACCCATCAAATGATAGTGAAACCTCATCCACACTTTCAAAATTGAAGATTATTGTAATTACACCTCAGGAATGAAATGCAGTGGGTAAAACTTTTCGCATCACCATCACATCATTCATATATACAATAACGAAGTTCCCCAAATCCGGCTCTTCTCTACCTTACATGAATACTGATGTGATATCATACCATGTCAACCCAATCCACACATCATGTCACTATCCCCTTTCAGCCCTTTCATCATCCCTCAACACCACTCACAAACACTGACTATAGTAAATACTACTAGTAGTACACGTACTACCCGTCGCACAAACCGTTCCTCCAGTCCATCCTTGGCCTCCACACTATAAAATCGACACTCGAAATTAGCATTCATCTCAACATCAAACCATCACCTCAGCGTCACCAAGTGCCACCACCCAAACAATCAACGAAACTAACAAACACCAAAAAGAAAACATACCTGTCCAAACTTCTGCACTACCGATCCGGTCGCCGTAGCCGCTGCGCTCGTTGCAGTCTTGGTCGAGGTGATTAAAGTCCCAGTAGCAGTAGCAGTCGCAATAACTGAAGTAGCCGCCCCCGTTCCAGCAGGCATACTAGCCAGAGTCGTCGCCGCATTATTACCATTTGATATTCCAGCGTAAGCCGAAGAGCCTCCTTGAGAAGCCCAGACGGCGGGACCGGGAACAGTGTAGTTGAAGAAATTTGAGTAGATGTTTGCCGTGTAGCCAGGGTCTGTCACGGAAAAGGCTCTGTGGGAAAGAGGGTGTTAGTTAGATTTGGGGAGTGAGAGAGGCAAGGAAGAAAGTTGTGGGTGGGTGTTCAGATTACATACCCGGGAATAGATACTAGGGGACCGGGAGTTCCGGTACCTCCGTTGGTCACGGTTATTTGGGCGCATTCGATGTAGAATTGAGGGATTCCTCCTGGGCTGAATTGAGTTGTTAGCATCAATGTCCTCCTCACTACTCGTAAATCTTGCGAGAACAAATGATGACCTAAAACTTACTAAGGATTGTGAATCGCAAGTTGTTGAATACGAAGAAGATAATCGCCGTTAGGAAGATTTGGCGGAATGGTATAAGTATATGTTTCTATTCAAAATTAATTCTCCTTACTTTCTGCTAAAGCAGGTTCACTAAAAGAAGGAAAACTCACGATAGAGATTCCAAGTTGCGACTTGATTTGTAAAGGTAGGACCAATGTCTAAAATCTTAAACCAAACCTGACCGGATCCATCGAAGGCTGCTGCAGTTGTCGGCGCTTTTGCCATGTATCTTTACCCGTCAATCTCAATCTCAATTCTATCACAAGTAACCGCAACAGAGATGAGAAACTTACATAGACAAAGGACCCTGATGATAAACCTGTACATCCGCAGTGAAAGAGAAAGAATCGCCAGCTTTGACTGTAATAGTTTGCGTTCCCTTGCTGGTTCCAGCACCGGAATTGCATCGTAGATCATTGCTAGCGAGGTCTGTAACAGGACTATTGTAATTATCGTTCATACGAATGTATCCATATGGTGGATATTGAATGCTCTTGTAGGTAAATGACTGGAAGATGTCTAGTTGCTAAAGTGTTAGCTGCGCTTTATTTCTGGGCTTGATAAGTTGGAGGGTACTTACAATGAGCAGAGGCATGACACGTAAGGAACGAAAGTCCTAGCAAAGAAACGAAGGATTTCATGATGGGCAAGGCAAAATATGATGGAATGCTTAGGGCGATACGAGATTCAAATTGACAGAGGGGGACTTTTGAAAACTTATACAAGTAGGAAATGGAAAAAAAGCATCTGCAGCAAATAACAACACTCTTAACTAGTATTGTTACATTTATGTACGCGGATCGAATCATTCTCAAGCCAGATATTGCTTTTAAAATCTCCTCATCAACTGACTAGAACAGCAGATAATTCATCAACAGCCGGCACTCCTCGAGCCTCTAATATCAAGTCCATGGAATAAGATTGGTACTATAGCCAAGTATCTGGGTCTTGGCGACTTTCAAAATCTGGGGAAGTCAGCATGGAGAAAGTGGATGATATAGGCAACATGCCGTTGCCAAGTGCCGTTTCGGATGAATAACGTCAAGCTGCACCCCGGATTTCAGTGGCTGAGAGGCTCGAAACTTTACGGAGAAATGAAACGATGAATCTGCATATCTTAATTAGAATCAAATATACATTAATGGCGCTCATCAAAGCACGACAGCGAAAAGCTTTTGTTAGACATTTCTCTTCTTTAGTACATCTCTGCACATGAACGGCAATACGGAACTGCTACTATTATATAGAAAGTGGATTTATACCATGATGATATGCGGAGTAGCGGGCCGTGTTACACAATTTATATGAATTGAACTTCATATGAATCGCTTGGATAAAACTGAAGGTTGATCAGCAGATCCCGGAATGTCATTCCAAATTACAAACGCATATACTCAAGTATCAAGTAAAAAAAATATGTGATGTGATATTTAGATAGATGGAGAACTGATTTTCGACGAGTGATCTCGCCCGTTTCTATTCAGTCTCTCATAGAGACCATCTTTGGACTCGGAAAATGTAATCGTCAGGCGGATCTTAATAAGTTCCTGAGCTTTACTTATTGGCTATTATTAGCTTTGATGGTTCTTATCTACTTGTTAAACCCATTCTGTCCTTGTAACCATCTTCCAAAGAATCTCTGAAATCAATGAAAAAGCCGTTACTGGCGCAGCGAACTGCCGCAGCAACAACTCCCGCAGCTTCCCGCAGTCAATTTCCAGAGCAAAAGTACTTTGCTCATGACGCGAAGAAAAGAGACAAAGTGCAGCTCACAGGGCACGAATCGCACTAGCTCAGACCACTCGAGAGGGGAAGAGAAGAAAATATAACACTCACGAAAATCAAGAACAGAGGTAACATTTAATATATTTGAGCACGTGCATCAAAATAGACGAGGAAACCAATGCGCGAAAGATGGAAATTGTGATCCGAGACGATGCTGTTAATGACTTGTAGCAATTGTTGGCCATCCTGAACATTGTCACTTCTCGACAATTTCATGAAATTCAGGATGATATTCGCAAAGAAGGGCAGTATTTTGCTCTAAGTAACGTGTGAATGTGATATACATCACGTCGGGTAGTATAGAACAATAAAACTATGACTTTTGAAGATTAACAACAGGTCTAATAAGAATCTGTGGTAAAAGAAGGTATGCGAATCATGAATCTGACGCTAGCCAGGATCGAAACTGGACAAAATCAATATTTATTGGTATCTCAAAACTCCTATAAATGCTTTCAACTTGTTACTCAGGGTGAGTCCAATCCCTCTAGTCTGACTCTGACCTCTCTAACCAATGCCTTTGCGTCCTCTACTTCTACCCCATCTTGACACAATTCTGTCGCCAATTGCATGGCTCTTTTGTAATCACCCGTTCTCATTGAGTGTTTCGCTAACCACATCCTTGCTTTCGACGTTGCAGCCGTAACTCCTGTGCCGTTGCTGCCTTCACCTGTAGGTGCCAATGGTTGGCGTCCTTCATCATCATCTGATGCTGAATCATTGTGAATGTTAATAGCCGATGCATCTGTATTATCATTGCCTTCTTCCTGTGCCATGCACAACTCCATGTATCCTCGTGCTTCTTTCTCATCCTCTAATCTCTCGTACATCCCAGCAATTTGGAGTAAAATTTCCGGATCCATGGTGCCTCCTCTTTCTCTACCCCCACTTCCAAATGAACTACCCACACCTGCGTCGTAGTAGCTATCTGCTAATAATGCACGCTTCAATGCTTTTATACCCTCCAAATCGCGTCCCATTTTCTGTAAGCAGGATCCTACTGCCATCCACATTTTACCATCCCATGGACGGAGTCCTGCTGCACGTTTATAATACCACAGTGCATATGCATGCATCTCAAGTACTTCGTATGTTTGCCCTAGTCCATACCAGGCTCTATAATCTCTCCTGTTCACATCAACTGCTCGACGATATGATTCAATAGCCGCGTGGGTGTTTTTCAATTCCACATATTCGTGACCCATGAGCGTCCAAGCACTGAGGCAAGAACGGTCTAGAGTTAAGGCACGTCTGAAATATTGTACAGCTTTCTCGTGGCTTGATAATAGTGAGTAGTAATTGCCAATCACAACACATGATTCTGGTCGAAACTTATCGACACTTGAGCAGAGGTGTGCAAGAAACGATAATTTTGGTCTGAGATTCATGACATAAAGAATATTAGAGTAGTGGTCGAGTGAGTCCAGCCGATGAGGATGTAGTGCAAGAAGGCGACTGAAGTGGGCATCAGCAGTGACGAAGTCCTTAGTATGATAGGATAAAAGAGCTAAGCATGTGAGTAGAAAAGGGCTGGTTGGGAATATGGAAAGAAGTTGCTCTAGAGAATTGGACAGTTGTGGCGTCGACTGGTATAATTCTAGGGAAGTATGAAGATGGAATATGAATGAGAGAATGTTTTGGGGAAGATGTGGCGATATTCGATTTAACTGCCCAGGAAGTCAATATTTTAACATAAATTTCAAGGGGCTTACTTACATCCTCAACTCTCGAAATCAAAGAAGTCATCTCCAACCAGCATCCCCAATTCATGGGGAATAACTCAACACTTCGGACCAGCCAGCGCATCGCCTCATCCTCATTTTTATCCTTGGCCAGAACCATTCCATAACTATGTCTCGTTAATGAAAATTCAAGTCTGAGAAAATTTTGACTAACAGATATTCAAGCCATCCTTGACTACCCGCAAACTCTCCAGTTTCAGTCTTTCTCTCTTGAAACCAAGCCTCCAATATTCGAATTATTGTGACTAATTGTTTGTTTACTGTGTTTCCTCCATCGTGAGGGCCCATTACCATTTCACTGTCTTCATCTTTCTTCTTCTCGCCGGACATGAACTTTGCGTATAAAGCTAGGAATAAGCTCTTCTGGCTCAGTTTTGGAAGCCCCGATATTGCACCTGTGCTAACTCGACTTGGTGCCTTTTCTTTTCCTTTTGATCTTGTGTTTACCCCATGTTGATTACCTTTTCCAGCCGTCGTTGACAGAATCCCAGAAAGCAATCTATCCGGCAGGAATACGGCCGCACATCGGTCGAATTCCCGGCAATCGAAAAAGGATTTCGCCAACAAATACTTGTTGATCTCTCTCGCCTCAAGTTGTGCCTCTTCGGGATCGAGGTTTCCAGTAAGAACAATTGGAGGGAGTCCTTCTGCCGGAACTTCCGTCATCTGCGAATCTTCGGGCTCCGAGTCATCATTTGTCGGTATGGATGTTAGCAGTTCTGCTGCCCTAGATAGATTGGTCAATGAACGTAAGCAACATCATGATTGGGCGTTTTACCATTTTGCAGATTGATATAGACATCTTTCCGAACATTTTACAACTGCTTCCTGTAGTGACCCTCGCAATTGTGCTGTTTCCCGCTCCGTAAGTGCCATGTTGTAATCTTTCTACCTCAATTCGTCGAGAATGTGAGCTTCAAGATAGCTCATGGAATTCAAGCTTGCCTGCAGACTAGTAAGTTGGGTCTTGATTAGCTTCAGGTACGGTACGGTACGGTCCGGGCCCTTTGGTTGTTTTGTTGATTTTGATACCTCGTCGACCGAGGAACAATTCACAATATTATTCTCGCCAGAATATCTTTGAACCATACAAAGGCAATTAATTCACTGTTGTACATTATACAGCATTGCTGTCAAGAACATTAAAATTAAAGTTTAAAAGTAACTTTTATCTTATCAGATATGGAAAGCGCTGTTTCCGCGTCCTACCCACCCCGCACCTTCACCGCTTGTAATTTAATTCCCCCCCATCACTCTTAACGCTTCTTTAATACCTCATTGTTTACAGTACCACCACCCTTCACCTCTCTATCCATACCTACTCTTCTTCCTCTGGTCATCAATACCTTTCGTTTTATATTCTACCTAATCGACTCCCACCAATCATCACCTACACAATAACAATGGCGAAGAATACCACTCTCAAGGAGTTCGAATCCGTCTTCCCAAAATTGGTTGAGGATTTACTTGCCCATGCCCAAAAGTACAACCTCCCTCAACAGGGTCAAGATTGGCTCAAGGCCGTGAGTGATTTTCCAGAAGAATCATTGTAAATATCATGTACTGATTCAGTTTCCCTCGTATAGTCTCTGTATGCCAATACGATTGGCGGAAAATGCAACCGTGGAATGTCTGTTCCCGACTCAGTATCTCTCCTCCTCGAAGCTCCTCTATCTGAAGAACAATACTTCGAATCTGCAACATTGGGATGGATGACTGAACTTCTTCAAGCTTTCTTCCTTGTATCAGACGATATCATGGATAGCAGCATCACTCGTCGCGGTCAACCTTGTTGGTACAGACAACCAAATGTTGGCATGATCGCTATCAACGATGCTTTCCTCCTCGAAGCCGCGATCTACTCTTTATTGAAGAAGTACTTCCGCTCGCACCCTTCCTACGTCGATCTCATTGAACTCTTCCACGAAGTTACATATCAGACAGAACTTGGTCAATTGTGCGATTTGTTGACAGCACCAGAGGACAAGGTCGATTTGGACAACTTCTCAATGACCAAGTATGACTTCATTGTCACATACAAGACTGCTTATTATTCCTTCTACCTTCCCGTCGTTCTTGCACTTCACCACCAGAAGATTGCAACTCCAAAGAATCTTAAGCAAGTCGAAGATATCTTGATTCCGCTTGGCCAATATTTCCAAATCCAAGATGACTATCTTGACAACTTTGGTCTGCCCGAGCACATTGGAAAGATCGGAACTGATATCATGGACAACAAGTGCTCTTGGCTCGTAAACAAAGCATTGGCTATTGCAACACCCGAGCAGCGTCAAATACTCGAGGAGAACTATGGTCACAAAGATAAGACGAAGGAAGCCGCAGTGAAGAAGCTGTTCGATGAGTTGAATTTGAAACAGATCTATGAGGACTATGAAGAGAAGAGAGTTGGTGAGATCAAAGAAATGATTTCACAGGTTGACGAATCTGAAGGCTTGAAGAAGACTGTGTTTGAGAGCTTCTTGCAGAAGATTTACAAGAGAAGCAAGTAAACGGACAGGACCTTTGTTGATCGCGCATACTTCTTTACACTATTGAGCAGCGAGCTATACTTTTTCTAAAAGTCGTTGGAATTTATAGAGCTGAGTTTTAAAATACCCCAGATAAGCCTTATACTTTATCTTGCACCTTTGGGTAATTGTTCAATTCGCGCTGATGATTTTCTGTTTGCCGTTATTCTTTTCATGATTCATAAATCTCATTATGCTAGATGCTGAATCCTTTCGCTATACAGTGCGAGAGGTGTTTTGTGCTTCCAAACCGGCTGGTCTGCTATTTTGATTCATGAACTTCTATGCTGCAACTTTCCTCTATTTTTCGCGTTCCCATTGAGCTATGCGAAATATGATTTGAGCATCTGGTCTTGTCTTTAAACCACATTGCCCGTAAAATCATATCTTTTGCATCCAGTGTGTCTAGTAGTTTGCACTGGTAGACCAAATATAAGTCTTGAATATTCAGAAATAATTCGATGTTCAAGGCAATTCTACTTTTCAAATTCCAAACTACTTGAATGTTCCCATTGTATTTTAAATTCGAAAGCTTCCAATTGTTGGAGTGCCGAGTTGCTGGCAACCCTGCTTATGCCTTTAGTCTATCAATCTAGTCGTCTCTTGTTCCCACCTTCTCCCCTTTTCTGTATTCTCAAATTCTTCCAATCCGTCCTCGTTGTGTACAGACCTGCCGCACAACCTACCTTGGCATTTCTCTGCACACCAAGAAAAGCCCCAAAAGCTTCATCCATCATGATACAGGAAATTTAAGTAGTAAGTAGAACGACGAAAACACGATCCAATCACAATATGGAAAAAAGAGGGGCTTCTTCTTCTCTTGTGAATGCCTAGTTAATTCAAAAATGAAGAGATGGCGCCTAGATGTAATAATATACATGTTGACCGATAAAACCGAGCGCAGGTTTTTGAGAGCTTCTCTCTGTCTTGCCATCGCTAAAGCAGTAAGTGGAAGATTAGACCGCAAGCCCTTAGAACAACAGAAGATTGATCAAGAGGGTATTTGGTAATGTTTCCTTAGCAAATACGAATAATTTTGAGGTTTTCATGTTGGGTTTTGTGAATGTAGAAGTGGAAATTGGTCTGAAAGAAGCGGGAGGTGCACAAAGACTTTTACTCTCACCTCCTTGAGTAATGTCCGCCCTGGTCGCCATTTTAGCATCCTGCCCTCCTTCTAACATCAATGCTCCCGTCCATCTCCGCATCAGCACTCCCTTGCTTACACGCTCTTTAGATGTGGAGAAAATGTACCAGATCCAATTTGACAGACAAAGGCATATAGTCCTAATGAGCTTGTAGGGAGATCTAGAAGCTTGTACTACGTCTTCGTGTGCGATTCACTTCATCGATCTTTTGAGAGACTAGCGGCTCTTCAAATTGGATAAGGTGCACCCAGTAGATTTGAACAAATGAGTAGTTGATGTTATACAATATATGCAAAGGGTATATACGAAAATCAAACTCAAACCCAAACTCCAATTTGCGACTCCTGCCATTAACTGAACTATAATTTCATTTCTACACTTTTCATTGCACCTCCGATAAAACAACTGCTCTTCTTTCACTCAAAGGAAAAGAACAAAACAAGGGACAATGATTTATATCGTTTTCAGAAAACCATACTTCACTGTGCTTCACTTACCAAGAAGTCCTCATTTAGTAAGAATAATCTCAACATCATCAGTAGCCTTATGCTTCCCATCTGAAGGTATCAATTTTATAGAGCTTCTCTTACCACGACTCATAAAAATGACTTTCTTCATTCCTTCCGGACATGGTTCAGCTGCCTTAGTAAGAGGTGATGCTGGCCGTTGATGAACGGCTGGAGGAGGTGTTATGATAGCGTCTTTTGGCTCAGGATTTGCCGGCAACGAGTCTGCAGATATGATCTCTTGTAGTGGTGATGCCTTAATCACAGAGGCGCCAAAGGTGTTTTCTCCAGATTTCGATGAGACGGAAGGTCGAGTGAGTGGTGATATGGGAGACATCAAATGGGAAGTCGGTTCCGGTGTTAGACTTCGATTTCGTGGGCCAAACAAGGAGGATAGACGAGATGAAGTGCTTCCTGATCGTTTGGAAGGTGCGATTGAAGATGCGTCTGTGTCAGTCCAATCATCATCGCCAGGGCTTTCTGAGATAGATTTTTTAGTGGTTTTAAGTGACGATTCCCGTTCTCGCCTTTTACGATGACGCTGGATTTCCAGTTGACGAATTGATTCGCGATCTGAGCCCTTCGCTCTGGCTCTATGGTAAATGCTACTCTTGTTCTTGTCGAATATTTGCGAGGAATTTGTCCACCGGTAAGGATTCGGCGTTTCTGGTTCTTTTCCTTTTCCTCCCGCTGCATAATCCTTGCTCTGAGGATATTTGTTTGTTTCTTCATGTTCATCCTCGTCTTCCGTGTCATCATTGTCAACATCATTCTCATCTTCCTCATTCTCTAGAAGAGCAATTTTATCATCCTCCTTTGCCTTCTTGACCTTCGATTTTGGCTTGACTTTGCCCTTTGCTCTATTCTTTGGAGCTTCATTGATGATTGGTTTGCTCTTGCTTTTCTTCCTCTTCTGCTTATTGTGATTTTTATAGTCCTCTTCGCCATCAACGTCTTCTTCCTCTTCCAGGAACTCATCGTAGTCATCATCCTCGTCTTTGTTGATCACCTTGCCTCTTTTTCCAGGTCGTTTGTTTCGGGGTTGCTCCTTTCGTCGACTTTTGACGGACTTTGACATCTTCCGGCGATAGATTTCAGAATCACTGTCACTATCACTGTCGCTATCAAATTCATCATCGTCACTAGCCTCGAATTCACTATCGTCGCTATCACTGTCTTCATCTTCATCTTCATCTTCGCCGAAATCTTTCCGTCTCCTCCTACTCGCTTTAGGTCTCCTGCGGGAATTCTTGGGACGAATTGCGCGCGATCTCTTACCACTTCTAGTAGCTCTTTGACGAGTTCCGGATCGGCCTTTACTGCGACTTGCCCATTCTTTATTACGCCTGGGACCAATATCTCTATCTCGATCGTATCTCTTACCCCTAGACCTTCCTTTTGTTTCTGCTTCAAAATTTCTCTTAATCTGGTACTCTTCTTCAAGTAATTCCAATACAGGATTTGTATGGTAAATGTTATCTGGAAACAATGTTAGCATCAAGACTACAACTCACCAACAGACCCTGAACAAGCTTACGACTATTGCCTACAGGATAACCTCTACGTCCCGGCGGAGGACGAGGTAGCTGTTCTTCTGGAAAACTACTGCAACAATTCCCCATGCTTAACTTTCTTCATCATGACCATATCATTAAAGAATCATCCTCTTTCCGTAAGATACGACTTCGAGGATGTGTGTAGATTAAAAGATTGTTGGCCGACATATTCGGTGAGGTCGACATACACAGAAACTCTAACCAGCCTCAATCATAGACCCTAATTATAGGAGGACCGAATATAGAGGTCATATTTCACTTGACACAGGTGAGAAGGTCTCGGACCAAGATTGGTGTTTAACGCGCGGTTAAGGGGGGCACTGGTGCAATCGCGGGTCTTCTGTGGTTATCGAGCATTGAGAAATTTTGATTGGTCAGCGGTGTGGTGGGGGTTCAAAGCTAGCCTAATTCGAGGCAGCAACCAAACAAATTCTCCACGACCTCTACGTTTGTCCTTCTCCCACCAAGATACGAGAACCTGCAAATTAACGTGGTGATAGTAATTACTGGCGGCTAAAAAATACTTTGTACTCACATCAGTCATTCACAATAATATCCTGCTTTTTCATCGTCGTAACTGTCTGAGGAGGTCGTTTGTGGTCCATTAATGAGCATCTGACCGACAACCTGCTACCATCACTTGTTTTCTCGATCCTTTGAAACAATGAAGAGCTATCTCCCTCTCGAATTGTGGATATTACTCGCTGATCAGCGATTACCAAAGAAGACTCTATCCACCTTATGTTTGACATCCAAGGTGAATTAATCAGATTGCGATATAGAATTAATGCTAAACAAGTAGCAAGACACTCAATGAAGTTTTCAGACCTGCGCTTTACCGTGAGATTGTTTTACCAGAATTTGCAGATGGGGTAATTCAGTCAAACAATGGAAAATTATGGGACATCTCCCAACTTCCTTTTGAGACCCATCTCCGTCACATACGTCGATTAGACTCTAGTTTTGTTGTCTGGCGTACCCGGGCTCTCCTTACCAGGTGTTTAGACAGAATGTCAAATCTAGAAAGCTGTTCCATTAGGTACTTGGCATTTGATATCTTTATGGGTGATAGACTGATCTGATTCACTATTAGCACGGTTCCTACCTTCGCAGCTTATTTCCATCTCAATAAAATCAGGGATGTCTACATCGATCTATGGAAGAATACACGCGACTTTTCGAGTTTTCATGGATGGTCAAATGTTCCAGATTTCAGAAACCTGCATAGTCTAGATTTGAGGGGCCTGAAGGGTGACCTGAATGTTCTAGGCACGAGTATTGCCAAAATTCTTTTTGTGAGTGTGAAGATAATAGCATTTCTAGAAACCACCTTTCTCAATATCAGTTTACTCTGCCTTGAATCTATGATCTACTTCTCGATATGTTCAGATTGTTTAACCCGCATTATCATTAGATTGTTAGGTTTACAATGGGTCGATTAAGAGGATCTCTGGGTTCTAAAGTGCGAGATTGCTACGCCTTTCGTTCATGCGTGTCGCTATGTGGAGAAATTTCTCTTCCACTGTTTTGCAATCCTTACCTTTTCTATCTATTCCTTTTCTTTTGAGAGTCATTTGATAAATAAATTGCTCACATCACATAGAACGATGGTATGCCTACCATTACGGCACTCGGTCTCGATTTAGAAGAACTTCAGGGAAGCGTAACCACAAATAACTTATTCTTGGATATTTTTGCAGTATTCGACAGAAGTAGACGAGCCATTGGAAAGCCAGATCTACGACTGAACTTGCGAGATCTCATATTGGGAAAAGGGATGTACCATCAGTCCGCTGGCATGGACGAGCAATACGACCGTAAACAGTGGCGATTATCAAAACTTTCAGATGTAACGAAGCTTCGTACATTACGACTATTGAACGACCCATGTTTTGAAGGAAATTACTGGGAGCCATATGAAACCATACATTTGGAGTTGTTTGATGGCATCACTGCTCTCCAGAGAGTTTCTGTGGAATTCGTGAGTCAAGAAGTTGTAAAATTACTTCATCACTTAATCATGATGAAGGATTCATCGAATCAAACAACCCTACGAGAGTTTCAAGCAACCCTCGACGGCACGGTTCAATCGCGAATACCTGGCTCTCCTAGCCTCTGTGAGGTTTTGTCTCAGATTATGCAATTTGAGTGGCGTCAGCTATTGATATCAGGCGAAGAAAGTTGTATGGAGCGAATTTACGAGGCTTCTTGGGATGAGCCTTCATATCAGTGGGAGGAGCTGGGAATTTCGTGGATTAATTGGGTATGTATCACTTTCAAGAAGATTATGCATCGGCCTTGAGACATATGAGAACTAAATGGATAACTTTAGGATCAACATCGCGATGCACTTCTCCAGCTCTCAAAGCTTCGTATTCTAATGTTCTCTTACGCCACAGTGACTGTTAGTGGTAAGCGGTCACAAGTTACAACCTGTAAAGAGGATGCGTTTAGTCTCGCTAAGAGGATCTTTACTGCTTTCCAAGAACATGCGAAGAATCAGAGAAGGGATTCAAACCTAAGATATGTTGGTATTGATGAATGGGTTTTCACTTCTTTGTGGTTGCCCTTTTCAGAGCTCAATGGTGCGCGCAATGGAGCTGAGATCGTGCAGCTGGATAAGGAAGAAGCTAGAACGTTTCATTTTATGCGAATGAATGAAAAACTGGAGATTGGGAAGTATAGGTTGGGAAGAAGGTGGTAATATGGATATTATTGTAGGTATGTGAAGAAGCGAGGGGGCATTGTCTAAAGTGCTCCAGATGAATTGTTTTTGGGGGATTTGTCAAACCCAAATACATCTATACCCTTTTCAAACGAATAGAATGCGAGACCTTGCCATCAACCCCTTTAGTCATATCACCGAGCCATTCTTAACCAACTCTTGCACTCCCTAAGATATCTCTCATTTTCCCTACCTCCTCGCCATCTACATCTTCTCCGTCTCCGATCACAGCACTACTATGGAACCACCCCGCTCCTATTTCTTGCGCCAATCCTTCGAGATTTTTACTGCGTACACCGCCTCCGACAATAATATCAATTCTACCCGCTGCTTGCTGTACCAATTTTCGAAGCTGTACAACTCCTTCAACCGAAGTGGGAGCCCCGCCGGATGTGAGGAGAGATGTGAAGTTTAGATTTATGAGCTAAATTTATCAGGAGGTTTTTCTTCACCAGTAATTTTACGAAAGCAAAAAAGCATCCCCAAACATAAATCAAAAGCAAAAAGCAAACCAAGAAAAAAACAGCACTCACCACTTCCAATTCCTCATTCATCCTCGCACTTTCAATTCGATCAAATGCTCGATGAAACGTACACCTCACATTCTCCCCGCCCTCCCCCTCCCTCGCAATCCCAATCAACTCAGCACATCTCTCCCTATCAACCACCAACCCCTTTCCCCCTTCCTCATCATTCCTCAAAATCCCAAAAACAAACCCCCTCCCCCCCAACTCCCTAAACCTCCTAATCTCCTCCTTCATCTCCACAAACACTTCCTCTCCCACCCTAAAATTATCATCGGGTCCTCCGCCCAGCGAACTATTATCAACCGGTCGAATCATGATATTGATTTCTCCATTCTCCTCTTCTTTTTTCTCCTCGATCTTCCCGCCAAATCTTTTCTCATTCTGCGCATGTGGTGCAGATGCAGAGGCAGAGTACACACTCGCGAAATCCTTCGCGTCAGGCGTCAATCCATCTTTATCCTTGTGTGCACAAAGTTCTATGCGTTGCACGCCGGATCTGAGAGCTAGGAGAGCGGAGGAGGGAGTAAAAGTTGCGATTTCTAGGTTTGGGGGCATTTTTTGAGATAGTATTGGGGATTTGGGGACGAGGGGGTATTTTAATTATTGGGAATTAGGGGTTGGGAGTGAGATATGTTTATGAGTGAGATAGCGGGGTAGCGGGGTCAAATTCAGGGTCAGACATCCTGGTGATTTGATAAGAGCAATTTTTGATTATTTCTCCAATTACCTACTTTGTGGTTGTGAAATGATTACCACCTGGTATACTTGGAAGAGCCAATATAATATATAACTAGGTATAATAATTGAAGTATAATTTCTACTAGTAGAATAATTAGAAATTACTTAGTTACAAAAATAAAAATAAAAATTCACACAAGATTACAATTCAAAGAGAAATAATTTTCGAACCAGCCTTTTGTTACTTGGTGTGTGTAAATAGAAATGCTAGCCTGCAAGCAAGGAAGCGGAAGATAAATAGATCCTACTGGCCCAACAAATCCAATTCCGTCTGACAAGAACCCCTATAGTTGAGATAGGTCATCCCAATTAGAGTGATATTTGCCCAACAGGAATAGAAGAGCAAGGAAAAGTCCAGCAGGAAGAAAAGAAGAAGCAAAATGTACCAGACAAGCCTTCACCGTCAAAAACTCAAGACTCCATGCCTAATTTCGAGAATGAAAGACGGCCCATGTCGTATCATATCATTCCAAGAAACTCCATACCATCCAATGCGCACCGCAAACAGTCATCCGACTCATTTCAAATCCCTTACAATCCGGCTGCCTTCTTAACAAATGCAGCTGCTGCCGTCGTATCCATTCCATAAGTTAGATGAGCCATTAAGATCAAGCTTCCGCCTTGACAGATGTTATCTCCGACGTGACAAATGATATCAGTTTTATCGGCTGAGACACCTTGAACTGCATCTCCATTATCTGGTTTTTGTGTTAGTTTCAGAATCCATGCCATTTTTTGAAATATGCAAAGGGCTTGGGACGAACCTGGGTCACCGAAGATAACGGCAGAGCTGATTTTAGCTGTTGTGTCGGCTGGTAAAAGTTTGGCAGCATTATGCACGAGTTGACCACCTTGGGAGTAACCAGAGATGACGACTTTTGTGTCTGGGCAGCTGGATAAGGTTGATGTGACCATTGAGGCCCTGTGGTGACGTGTTAGTCAATTTTTTTGAGAGGAAAACAACTAGTCACACTGGAAATTCAGAGGAAGAGGGAAAACATACATAGTCTTACTGCCGGCAGGATCACCTCCTTGTAAAAATCCTGGAATATCTGCTGGATAGTTGACACCATTCATGGTGACTGAAGATGACCCAAGAGCGGATTTGAGAGCGGAGAGAAAAGGTGGTCCGACTACAGTACCGAGAGTTCCAATCTCAGTAGTTCCACGGGCAAAGATCACCGTCACGTCTGAGCATGCTCTAGATTCGATGGAACCTGTCGGAGCGGCAAAGACGGAGAGAGGAAGGAGGAGAATGGATAAGAGTTGTTGAGTTGAGGTCTTCATTTTGAAATTGGTTTATTAGAAATTTTTACAATGAATGATATCAGTCGAATGAAGATATATGAACTATTCAATAGATATGTGAAAGAATGTGGAGATGATGATCAGTGATGAGAGAAGTTGTGTTGAATGGAAAACATCTTGACTTTATATCTTCAAAGTTGAACCCGGCAATCAGGAACGTCATTTATTTTTGTGGAGAATAACGTCAGATCATAACATATGCTTAATTCTTAGGAGGCCTTGGGATGAAGTTTCAAGCCGATAATAGTATCCAAATGCTTGTCGGCCAGTCAAGATGAAACTTGCCAAATGCCGAGGTATTCAATACACCTGCTATCACACACCAGACGAAGGGTATAATAACATTTCTGCTATTAAAAAAGTAGAAGTGCCGAGGAGAAATGTTGATGGTGAGCTACACAAAGCTCTTCGTGAAAACCAATTTAGCAATGATTGCCCTTCAATACGGGGTACAGTGCCGGTATCTCAATGGATGTTCAACTATGTATGTGATCACTAGACCTCCAAGCCGAGCTTTTTCCTCTACGCGCTATTTAAGCCCACAGCTTAAACAGGCAATCTAGCCAGCTGCAGGTGTGCTAGCCTCGCATCAATTCCAGAGTAAGTATACATCAGACGGGCTCGGGGAATCAACATCATGGGAAACTTCCCCGACAGCACGATCCCAATTTAGAGATGAAGGACAAAAGACGCTAATACGAATTATACGATATATCTGGGGAGAAGAACAAAGCGCATGCTCGGCGCTTATGATAGAGTTGCAAAAACATTCTTAAGATGCGATTGGTACAAATGATCTCCACTTGGCACACCAACTCCCGTTTCCTAGTCCTTTGGACCGTTTTGTTATGTTTTGGCGGGGCTAAGAAATGTTGATAGCCAGGATGTTGGTGCTTTGATACCTTTTGAAGTGGGTATCTCAACTTGACATTGAGTGTTTTGCCAATATATCAATCAGTATGAGACGAAAAATTGCTTTTGATGCAACTTGTTCGGATGAATCTGATTTTTCGAAACGTTCAGGGTGTAAGAAACATAAGGAGGATGGTGGTGGCTGTGCGGAGAAAAAGCAAAGGAAATTTGATTGTGATGCAACACAACATCATTGTAACTTTTTTTGCATGGACTTCCAATCTCCAATATGGAAGTCCGATGGGGAGTTTGCCGTGACCCGAGAGTCTGTCTGTTCATCTCGTATCTCTAGAATACCATGTCTAGATCACCGTGGTTCAGTAAGTCGGTGAGCAGTAAAATTTTCAACATAGAATGGCGTTTTGTCTATATCTTCAACTGCCGAGATAGTAACGATACTTAGAGGTGGTGGTTGAACCACGGAGGAGAAAGAGGTGAAGAGATATGGAAAATACCGAGATCGACAGCAAGGACAAGGGAAGGGGCCGAAATTTCTCTTAGCCAAGAGGATCCCCTATATGAAGTTACCCCATATTGAGAAAGCGTGAAGCTCCACATAGCTCATGCCTGCTTAGCCATATCCTGCGGTACTATCCGGAAGTCAAAGCATCGCAGAGGAAGTAAAGACTTTCGATTTAATTCTCTCTTCAAACCGCTTTTCTTTCTACATCCATCTTATTTCTCTCCTCTAGATAAACTCGTGAGCCAAGTTCATTGTGACGGCATGTCACGGCGTGTCACGGCGTCAAGCAAGCTACTAGACATCTGAGATATCTAGTAATGGGCATCGCTAGAGTATACGGCTAGTTTAACCATTAACGGCAAATTCAACTGGCAGTTTTGACAGGAAAGCCTGGTGTCGAATGTTTCAGTCTGAGCTAACATCTACCGAGCCAGAATGATGGGTTGCCCAAAGCGATGCAAAAATGTACGCAGCGTACAACTCAAGCTGTCATTGATTAGATTGAGAAAAGCGCTTCATGTCGATCACTTAATATCTCATCTGACGGCAACAAGTATCAGCTCTTGGGGATGGGATTTTCATTGTAAGTTGCGATCATTATTATATCTTATGAGGGGGGGGGGGGCTAGAAAAGAGCTTACTAGAGATATTCAATTGGACTCATTATGGATCACAAGTCCAGCCAACCTCACCGGGAGATCGTATTCAAACATCAACGCTATCGTCGCCCGCGCATCCATACTATTTACCCAGAAGGAGATTCCATCAAAGTACAGTCTATACGATGACGAGCGTCACTAAACATCTTCCATAATAGGAGAAGTCCTACGGTTAAAAATCTCATATACCCACCTACCTACCTACCTGCCTTATAGATACGTGACCGAACATGATATCCTCTATTACATCTCTCATAAAATCCGCATCTCCCAAATTCCCCTCGCTCGAGTATCGTCACCATAACCCTCTAGTATCCACGCAACACCTCAATCTCGCATCTCGAATCTCAAAACTTCTCCACCTCATTTCATTAACCTCATCCCCATCTTCACTTCCATCCCACTTACTCCTCCCCCTCCTCTCCTCTACACCCATTTCCGCATCTCCACCCCGCCTAGCCAAGCACCTCCGCCTCGGTCCCGAGTGCGCTCCCGAACCAACCCATCCATCCCAATTTCCTTTTTCCACCACGCAATCTCCAATCTCCAAAACCAATCTCTAAAACCATCCCAAACCCCCCAATGTCTCAAACATCTCACACCCACCCATCTAAATTTAAACCATTAAACCCATTAAACCACCTAGTACATCCATACCTAGAAAAATACACACAACTCCCTTGATCATCCCCGCTCTTCACACACACACCTAAATATACCATACCATACCATACGAACCTACCTGCTAAAAAACTCCGGTAAATGAACCTGAGATATTGGCCCATCGATCCATTATTTTTATATTTATTTTTTCGAAAATAACCACTACCTACTAGGTACATATACAGATATACAGATACCTAGTAACAATATACCTAACAATATAAAAAATCCCCGTTCTATGAATAGATGACTTTCTCTTTCTCTCTCTTCATCTCCCTCGAGAAGAAAGAAAGAAACTACCGTAATTACATACATACCTACCTACCTACCTACCTATCTTCCAAACCAACGAAAATAGAAAGAAAGGAAAGGAATATTAACAACGAATGAAAAAAAAAAAAAAAAAAAAAAAAAAAGAAAGTATTAGAAATCATTCCATTCTTATTCTACGAAGTAATCGTCACAAACAAACCTTGGAATGGATTCCGACGAGTCTCGAAAGAGACGAGGAAATCAAACCTCTGAATGGGATCTTTCTGCTAGATCTTTCTGCCAGATCTTTCTGCCAAGGGGTTTGTTTGCGATTGGATTGGATTGAATTAGATTTTTCTAGAGCTTGGTTTGGAGAGTTGAATACACTTCTTATGGTGATTTTATTACTGCCCAGTCTCTCGAGTAGGTATCTACCTACCTACTTCTTGATATGGGGTTGTAAGTACTAGGTACGTATCTGGGTAGGTTGATAGATGGATGATTCGAGGTCGAGGTCGAGGTCTCCAATTTGGAGGTTTGGGGTTTATTGTGATTTGATTTGACTTGATGAGATGAGAAGAGAAGCGAAGAGATAGATGTTATAAAAATAGATATTTCTCCATGTATCAGACAATTGGTGATGTGATTCAGGTAGTAATACAATAATAGTACTAGGTAAATAATGACAACGACAATGAGAAGTCAAGCACAGCATTCCCATGATAGATTCACCACGTGCAAACACGGATTCAAAATACAAAGTAAAGTAAAGTAATAATCTCTTCAATTCCGCTTTGGCGACCGTCAGATACGCTATCTACAAGATGCACCTGCGCAATATCTAGAGATGAGCTCAACCCGCGCTGTCAATCGGTAGGCATGTATGTAACGTCGCTCCCGAGAAAAATTAAAAGAGACATCTGAGATCAGAAAGAATTAAAGCAAGCAAGCCGAATATGCCAACTGTCGCCGTGGCGGATTGCTCTTCTTTCCATACGTAGATGAATATTCCAGGAAAACAAAAAGCAGACCTTCCCATTTCGATATGTTATAAACAGTGTAAAGAAAGTCATTTACATAAAAACTCCCTACACCTTCCATCCTCCACTTGTATCTCTAATCTTCTATTCGTCTCACTCACTCCTATTGATTTTTCTTTCTTTCTTTGTTTCTTTTTCCTCTCATGCTCACATCTTCATGTAAGCACCACCATTGGCACTACCCCCAAACATCGGTTGTTGCGGTTGAGGAAACTCCGCACTATGTGGACTCATCTCCGCATTTCGCATAACCATCGTCGGACTCATGGGACCATGTTGGCCAGCCTGCACCATCGGACTTCCACTAGCCATTGCGCTCGCGCTTCCACTAGGTCCGACGTATCCAGTTCCTTGGTCGTTACCCCAGCCTCCAAGTGCGTCATCTCCTTGGGTGGCATGTGAGTTGTTATCGAAACCGCCAAGACCCTTGTTGTGCAATTCCATTTGGTCTTTGTAGGCGTCTTGCTGTTGCTTTTCAATCAATTGGTTGTAGGCTTCACGTTCTAGACGGCCATTGCGACGTTGACGGAGGAAGGTGAAGAGGAAGGCAGAGACGAGAGCGGCGACTGCGGCACCACCTCCACAGTAGACTGCGAGTTTGGTGGTCTTAGGAAGGTTGTCCCATTTTTCACCGATGGAGAGTGTGGGGGTTTCATTCTTGGTGATAGTCTCTGCGACAGTCGAGTTACCGCTTTTTTGATTTATTAGCGCGCTTTTCGTGATATCACGGGAAGAAAAGTAACATACCTGATAACTTTGATGGATTGCCAGTCTCCAGTTTTATCAGTCCATTGATATTCTGAGCCAGTGCTGTAGTCTTGAACTGCTGCACTCTTCACGTACATCGTAAATGGAACCTTGGTGAAATCGGTCTCTCCACCAGCCCATTCGATTGTTCCCACGCTGTTCCCCTTTGGATCACCACCGGACCAGATTCCAATTCGGACTGTCATGGGGGTTTGAGGGAAGTTCTTGCCATTAACCGCATCAGCATATGCAAGGGTTCGAACAAGACTATCGTCAATCCACCATTGAATTCTCTCGGCAGTCCAGTCGATGGTGTAGTTGTGAAAGTTTGTTGTTGGATCGGTAGGAGTTGGGTACCAGATGGCCCGATCATAGGAAGTAGTATTTCCTTTTCCAAAATAATTGGTCTCGGCGTGAGTGGTGTTACCTCCAATCCATTCCCAATCTATTTCGTCCAGATCGTCACTCTCCAAAACGATACTTGATACGATACCTACTCCAGGTGCAGCCTTCATGATCACAGATACCTGGCCAAAAAAGATGTAGAACTTGGATTCGATGGTGGGTGATTGTCCTTGTTTGGCGATAGTGAATTCGGCACCATCATCGCCATATGAAAGAGACCCAGCGGTGATGTTGAAATAGTTGTCGACTGTGGATGATGTGTTGAAAACGAAAGTATGGTTTGTACCCAAAGCTGGATCATTGGGACATGTTGTATTGAGAGGATTGCAAGCGGTCCAAGTCTGAGCTTGAACGAATGGTGAGAGGATGGTTGCTCCTGCTAGGAGAACCAGGGAATTGAATTGCATTGTTTCTTTCTTTTTCTTCTCTGTGACAAATCGTGTGTATTTATGTATGTATGAATACTTTTTGTTTTTCAATGAGAGTTGTATTGTACTTTGTAAAGAAGGTTGATGGTAATTAATTATTAGATCCGATTGATTTGATATTGCGAATTCAACTTTGATGATTCGGGTTCTAATGAGTGACTGCGCCTTTCAAGGCGGACGAAGGTGAATACCTAGTTGTTGAAGGAAAGTAAGGTGCAAGAAATGCACAATCGAAAGATGCCAAAGTGAGAGTGAGGGCGAGTGAGTGAGTGATACTCCAAAAGTCAAAGCAAAGGATTAAGAGGTTGAGATGGGGATGAGGAAGGAAGAGAGGAATGACATTAAAGAAAGTGGAGATTTGATCAACGGTTACGGTAAACGCTGCTTTCCTCGTCCTCTCCCTCTGCTTTGCTGCTCGGATGAAGATGGAAATGGGGAAAGGTTGCAAATGATCAAGATCCCAATGCAACGCCAATCAGTTCAATTTAAGGGAACGTGCATGTGCGAGTGATACTTCCATTGCTTCCGTACCATGGTGTTCGAAGTGGGTGTACCCATGAAATTTGGGTGAAGGTGGATGAGATTGTGTGGTAGAGCGAAGGGTGGATTGGAAGATCATGGTAGAAAATTTAATTTGAATTTCCCAAAGCAGGAGATTGTGTTTCAGATTTAAGGGGAAATCCACGGATTATCAATTCTCGAGGGGGGTTTTGGAGAATTGGCATATTGACATTTAAACGGATATGATACCGAATCGGGCGAAATCCAATTGATAAGCAAGGGCTGAACCAATCGTATTTTCGGATGCATCCAGGGAAATGAAGATATACAAGGATGTCTAGACGGAAATCATTTGCCGCTCGCTCCATCCATTCCCATTCATTCCATCGCAAGAGGATCACCTCAAGTTCGCTGACTGCTCGGTGCTGATGAGTGTGCTGAGTTTGCTGCTGTCTGTCTGTTTGTCGGTCGGTCGGTCGGTCGGTCTGTCTCTCATGAACCTCTTGACGAGATCCATTCTCCATATCGGAAAACAGTTTGATTGCCAAGTACTCCGTACGAGTATACTCGAAATAGATCTCCTGAGATTACATCTGATATCTACCTGGGAATCCTTTTGCAGCTTTCGACACTGATTTCATGATGAGAAGAAATTGATGACGCTGCAAGAACATACTTAGCTAGTCCACGGGTAGATACTAGATAGGAATGACGATAGAACTTTGATATGGAACTTGTCCTCTGGAGGCGCATAAGATGATATAGAGTTGAAAGCGTCTGATCTTCCTTCCTTGGCATTTGGTGCGGCATACTGCATGTACTACGAGTATGTAGGTAGTAGTTAATGAGTATCTGTGAAACTCCACTTGAGAAAAAAAATATACCTGGCTCCTGGATTCTTACCGAGTACAAGAATCGAGGATCAGATCCTCATGTACATAAAGCCATTTGGCTTCCTTATTTATTTGTCTTTCTCGTATTTTACCCACGCTGGATAGGAATTGATGGGTCCCATTTGTCAAATACCTCTTGTCTCTCTCTCGATCAGAGATATCATGTGTTCGTTAAGAACAGATTTATTATCTGTGGGCGGTCTACATATTGAATCGTGAAGTTTATATCATTCCCTTACCAGCGAGCCAGTCTTTACCGGTACCAGAACCATACCCATCGGTTCTCTCCCTAGACATCGTTACGAAACATTTGATTAGCAGCCTCTGGTCATTTACGAAATGTTGAGTCAGTTAGAGTTACTCGGCGTCATCTCTAGGTAGTGAACCCTCGATCATGATTCATGAATCCCCTTATCCTTCCACATTCCATCCTCCACATTCCACATTCCATCTTCCATCTTATTATACATCCAAGCCTCTTCTTCCGTTCCTATCTGTACCTGCATTTGCAATTTGCCAAGTGGACGGCGTCTAGTAGTCTACGGATTATGGAGCAGCACGTCCAACCCCTACTAGAGCCCCTATACTTCTTGACATGTAAGATATCCACAATGGAAACCACAAATTCTTGACAAACGGGACTCATTCATATGTGGAAAGCGTATTTTGATGATACGGTACAGGTAGGTTCACGTTGAAAGCTTTCAATTGGATTAATAACTTCATACAGATTGATACCTAAGGCATTCACATTCTACTGCTATGTGGCGTCAAGAACCGCTGTTAAGCGTTCAGCTAACCAGCATCTAGCCTAAAAGGGAAAAGATATACGTAAACGTACACTTACCTACTTATACTCACATGATTTAAACGCTTGTATCAACAGGTCACTCTTTTTTCATAGATGCATATGTACATCTTCCAAGGTTCTGATAGATTAGTGGCTAACTGCACCTCAATGTATTGGTATGAGGAGGAGCACTCAGAACCCCCAATCGCATATTGACCATCGTTATCTCTAACCTTCTTCCGCTGCACGCTCTCACCCACCTACACACAGGATGCTCCATACGCATTCGGGATATTGTGATCTTCTCAGAATTTTTTAACTTCGATGCGCAATCACAGCACTCAGACAAAATCGAGAAACCCCATCTTACACTGTATCACATCTCCGAATCGTGATTTGACGATTCTTGTCACATTGAAGTGCAAGCTAGCTGAGCGGTGAAGTTCGCGCTCAGCCAACAAGAAGCACGGTAGATGGGCACAAGGTGCCGATGAAACTAAGTTTGAAGACGTTGCCAAGAAAAGGTATGCACAACATCAAATCAATGTTCCGAAATCCCGATCGGATCTCTTTAAATCTCTTACGAATCTTTTCATCTGTTGTACTGTATACAAGTGCACGTCTCTGATCCTCGGGGGCCTCCACCGCGGTCTCTCGCCATCAATCAGCCAGCCACAAACATCCCATTCCACATACGCCTTGAGATTCCTCTCAACAGTTTTAACACGAATGCTCATGCATATAGCTCAACTGCAGGAGGATTTTCTTTGGGGATAAATGATTACGACCACCATCATGAGAGCAACTGAATCCTTAATCCATTGGGTACTCTGATCGGCAGTGCAGCTCCAATATACAGCTGAGCCTTAGAAAATGCAGTGACTTCCAAAAGGATGAGCTCGTTCCACGAGTCTTGTGAACGTTGACAGTACAAAAGAGCTTGATTCGGTGCAAGAACTCTCTGAGGACACACAAAATTGACGTACCCCGCACCATTGTTATTTCAATAGCATATTCCCCTCACTCTCTGTTTCACGGCGATACTCCTGTTGTTACTCTGCAACACGATGCAAGAAATGTATCAGCTGTAATTGGGCAGCAATGAGTGATATTGGGTTCATGGATAATCTGCCTTGCTTGTTCCATTTTGCAGACATCGAATTCACAACTCAGCATATCGTAGTGAAGATAGTGTCTCATTTTGATCATACACACTGCTGTGTATTATATCGCACCCACAATTCATTGACACATCGCATACACAAGTCATGGGCGACGCTGCTTTGCAGGTTGTAACACTGTCATACAAGCAAAGAAGTCCTTGTGGAGAGCTGAGCTGCAGAGCACTCCTTTCATCATATCAACATCAGATGTATAGCAAGATCGATATTCTCAGACTTACAAAAAAGTATAATAAGTGCTTAATTCTCCTCCTGTCATCGATTTTTCACCACATCCCATATACTAAGCTTTGAAAACATCTTTTTGATTCATCTATTACCTCCGCAAACCAACATGGCGAACGCAACAAAAGACTATGGTGACCTCAGAGTCACTATGACCTCAGCATTTGACTGGGTATGGAGCGATAAGGGCAGTGGAGCTTCGAAGGACTTTGAAGCCTACCACCCCAAAGCTCAGGGAAATTTGCGTCCTCTAGGATCTGTTGGGTTTTCTTCATATGGTGACAGGAATGGCAGCATTGCTGTTCTACTTGTTGGCAAAAACCCAAGTTCTACAGGTACAGCAGCAGTCGCTAGTCCTACCGGCTATGATTTGATTTGGCGTGACGAGAAAAGCGGGGGGAGTTACAACGGATCTTTCTGGAGGCCTAGAGCACCCAGTGGGTACGTCTCACTTGGAGATGTATGTTCAGGATCTTGGAGTGCCCCTAGCACTGACAAGATTTGGTGTGTTCGTTCTGATCTGGTTCATACCTCGGATTACTTCAGAGCCAAGGTTTGGGATGATCGAGGCTCAGGAGCTAAATCCGATTGTTCTGTGTGGGAAATTGGACTCCCTTTTATGGGCGTGAATGGGGGAGAAAAAATCCCGATCTCATCCGAGACTTTCCGCGCCAACAACAGCTGGTCTGAGCCCAACAGTGGCCTCGCACAAGTTCTCACCCTACCAAACCCCAAAAATTTCACAGAATTCACTGCTCCCCCACCATCTTTCACGAAACACAATATCCCGAAAGGTGGCGATGTATTCAACCGCATTGATCAATGCCAAGTCACACTTCCTTTCAGCATCTTTTTTCCCCCCACAGACGCAGCAAGCCTTAGAACCATCAGCTATCCATTCTGCCGTCTCGCTAGAAAAATAGCTTGGTATGTCCACACGGCGCACACCAATAACAGTGGAGGCCAGATTTCCGACTCCACCACAGTTACAAAAGGTGTCAGCAAGACGCTAGCAGAAGAGATGACACACTCCGCAGGAGTTTCCATCTCTGCCTCGTACGGTATCAAGGGTTTCGGCATGGATGTTAGTCTCAACTATCAATTTACATCGACCAATTCCTCCTCCTTCACCGAGTACGAGGACAATACGCGCACGCAGGGGTATACTGTTCCGCCATATGAAGCCACTGTTTTCCTCTGCAAGCGGATTTGGATTCAGGCCACTCGCGCAGATGGATCTATCGTTCTCAGAGAAATCAACTTCAACGCCAACGACGACATCCATCTTATCGGGGTCTCTCTTAAGTAGGAGATGATATGGTTGTTTTTTAGGTTGAGGTATTAATACCTTCGTTTATTGTTACGATCTACAAGGCCTGACGGAAGCTTTGGCAGGAAGAGAGTCATGCGACTAATTACGATCATTATTTGGAATTACTGTTACTGTTGATCAATAAATAAGCTCTATATGAACAAGGTGCATTTTACTTGTCATATCTGTTGATTCGATTAGTGTTTCTTATGTCTATCTCAATACAGTCCTTATCTGACATTTGCCACTACCCATGTGATTTGTATTCCTTGCTTTGTTTTGCGCCATCTGTTGTGGCTTGCACTTGACCTACAGACCGCTGCGATCACGACTACTCTGTCTTACCAATATACATACATTTATAGGAGCAATTTAGCCTTGTAGGGGTCTTCGATTTGAACAGAAAAAAAGAATCAGTACTTCTACATTTTTGTACAGTGAAACTTAAGGAAATGTCTAATGTACAAGCTCTGCCTGGGGTTCCCTCAGATATATCCTGACCCATACCAAAATTCATCTCGCATAGGTAATTAATAGCAAGATCAAAAGAAGTTTAGAGCGCTAACTTCTTTCTTGTAGCTCAGAGGTCCCTCTCTCGACATGAGCGTCAAAATCCTCCAAGAGATATTCTCGGAGAGTCCAGCTCCTTCTGCGTATGGTTGAAGGCGTTAGTGATTCTCTCTATAATCTCTATCTTCTATCCTCTTCCGCGAATTGCCGCTTTATTATATACTCGTTTTCCGTTCCCAAAGCATGGTCTGAAATACCAGTTCATACCACAGGCTTTCCTTCCTCCCCACCCAGCTTATTCTTCCATGTTCCTGCATAATGATGAGTTACCAAAACCGGCCCTTGATCCTTTGGAAAGTTGCTCTGACTCGCAGCAAACGCATTTCCCGGCAATATCAGCACATCGTGAACGAGCTTCGCACTTCTCAGTCCTGTGATATCCCTGTCGTCGAGCTCCCTTCCAAGGATCCGATTCAAGCTCTTCACAATGCTCCACGTCATCCTCTTTGGACCCGTGAGGTCTACCACCTGAGGAATCATACCCATTTGTATACCATCGAGCGAGACATTGTGTTGTCGCGCTACCTCATCGACACCCACCAGGATATCGTCGATCACCTGCATCATGTGGGGGGAGTGGGGCTTTGCCATTATCGTCCAACTCGTAAACTGGGCGTGTAGGAAATTGTCATTCTCCCAGGGCCAGTCGAATTCCAAGCCGACAACAAGATTTGCGGCTTCTCGATATTCTTTCAGCACCCATCGATGTATCGGTACTTCGTCGCACGAAACGTCTAAATCCATCCACATTCCACCCTCGGCCCACAGGATTAAGTATCTCAGTAGATCCGCTCTTAAGATCGGCACGTTGAGGGAGAAGTATGTCGTTATGATATCCGGTCGATCCGAAAACCATTTGTAGACGTATTTACTCGCCGCCTCATCGTCAAGTATTTCGTATTCGTATGAAGGGCTTAGCTCAAGACAATGATTTCTAAAGCTCTCAGCCTCGGCGGAAACTCCTTGAGGTCCGACTTTGTACCATATCTTTTCGGGGAAAGCAGCAGCTGTAGGTGTTGATATGGGTGCGGAGGTAATTACTTGGGAGCTGGACGACTCGGCAGGTATCGGCACTGCGTTGCAGCTTTCGGAATGACCGGAAGGGGCACTAAAGCCAATGTTGACGAAATAGTCATGTTTGAATGAGATTAAGAGAAAGAGAAAGATAACTACTACAAAGAAAACAGAGTTATGAGACCTAAAAGACTTTTGGCGAAACATGTTCCGGGATTCAATATGAATTGGGCTAAGCGATTTCTGTGTGAAAAATTCAAGTGAGGAAAGCACAAACATATTTGGGGTTCTACGGGCAGACTTATCAACTTGGAGCCTGCCCCCTGACCTGTAATACTATTCTCACTTTTCTGTACTGTTTGAAGCAGGGCGACTGCGGCTGCCAGGGCGTAGGGAAATAACCTTCCTAAAGGGGCAGTCCGGGCCGAAGATGCTGGCTTATCGCTTGGTTCCGCTTAGCCAATCATCCAAATTTCACCCATTAGTTTGTCCCGACACTCTGGTACCGAGATTTTGGGACCAATGACATCCGATGAATAGGCTGATTGTTGGCTAAGTGTTTTGAAAATCATGCATTGACTACCCCCAAATCTCGGATGGGCGCTTACACTGCATTGATTCCTATCTTTAACTCAACTGCTATTCGTATTGTCAGCACAGTATGATTGTCGAGGGTGCTCCGCGCGAGCATTTATGCAAGGTGTGCCACACAAATTTTCTTCCCTGTGAAGTGTTTTCTTCTGTACTGCAGCAATTTCTAAGCGTCCATTTTGTCTTCTCCTACTGCTACGCCAGAGGCTATTTCCATCTTCTCTTCTTTTCCTTGTCTCTCAAGTCAAAAATCTATCTCGCAAACTACAGTAATCTTCACACTTTTTGGGTCAAATTGTGCTGAGAATTCCTATGATTTGGTTATCGCTCTTCATTTTCTTTGCCTGCTCGTTTACAAGCGATGCTGCCACCGTCAATGACTTTATTTTTCCAAACAATCAGACCAATCCTCCTAAATACGAGGGGTCTTTTGAAATTGGTACCGAGCTCACTGTTCAGTGGGAGTCCGTATGGAAGAATACAACTTTGGTTCTTTGGCAAAGCGGGACGCCACAGTTCCAGTATCTTCCAAACTCGAGTATGTCCTCTGGCTATGATAACTCTAGTTAAATATGCTCACGATCATTAGGAGACATGATAGGGTTTACCCAATTCATATGGAAAGTTGATCTGAGTGGCGCCAATGGCAATCCCAAATTCGACCTAAACGCGGGGAATGCCTTCTTTTTCGGCATCTTTAACAGTGGCACAACCGACCTTTTCGAAAGTCAGTTTGTCAACATTACCGGAAAGAATAACATCGTATCAATCGCTTCTTCATCTGCTGTGGCTACGACCTCAGTGAGTAGTGCAGCCAGTACTGATCCCACGACTTCCACCAATGCCTCAAGCGCTGCCCTGAGTAGTACGACAGAACAGCCCTCAAGCACCTCGACAAGTTCTTCAAGTTCCGTAATGCCAACAATCTCTTCTGCACCGGTCAGCACACAATCTTCGAGCGAGCTAAGTGTAGGTGCCAAGGCAGGAATTGGTATTGGTTCTGTAGTTGCATTTTTTTCCATTGTCGGAGCAGCTTTTGCTTTAGGGCACTTCCTTCGCCAGCCAAAAACTCCACACATCCATCCAGAGAGTGCGGCCGTGGGCCATTCAAGTTTCGCCCCTTCCACGACCACTGCAATGACCTCAGGGTCTCAGCAATGGCACCCTCTGGTGGAAGCACATTCAGAAATCCAGAAACCAGGAAACAGAATCTACGAGATATGAGATATGAGATTTAATACACTATTGCCCTATGACGCCCACCATCAACCAGACCATTTCTCTCGGCGCCTCACTCGCCGTTCCGATACCCAGTTATGAGGATCATACTAGCCACAATCTGTGCTCTAGTTTCTCATCATGTATTTACAGATTCTTTGCGTGTCTGTTGTTCTCTCTTGTAATTATAAAGTGGTTTTTAGTTTGGAGCGGGATTCTATAATCACTAGCCACGTTGAGGTAGTCAGGGAGCAGCAGACATTAGTTTATTTATTATAATTTGACGTGTCAATGAATTTTGTTATATAGATCTAATTCCACATTTTTGTGACTGCCCCCTTCTGTTCAAGGTGAAGATCATGAGAAAACGCAGTTCCAGCTCTGCAAAAGCATACTAGACCAACGTGTACCACACATAACCAGTGAATTTCGGGAATTTCTTCAATGTGAAACATCGCTTACGGCTCTCCTTGAATTTTCTGTAAACGATGGTTGTCCACTCTATCTGGATGATAAGCTGACACCACCAACAACATAGTCCCTTCTCACAATTCTTTAGCAAAGCAAACCTTCAAAATTCCGATTCAACAAACTGTCGAAGAGCTTACGACTCACAATTTTTATACTTTTATTAACGTTTGACATATCGTATGTTGTTGTTATGCAATTTCGAGACAATATTGACTTTTGAAAAGAATTTGAATTTGGCGAGTTTGGCGTGGCGGACATTTCGTCCAGATGGAGCCTCTGTCCGCTCCTCGATCCACTCTCCGCACGTTGGATCCGTATTTGATCTCCAGCATCAGGAATGGCTGTGTCTATATTAATCTCTTCAGCCCCCAGTTTTTTTCACGGTGTGCAATGTACAATTGAAATGATAGTATAATTCTTCACATGCTTGAATAATACAAGAGAAGATTCGTTCCGAGGCTTGAGATCTTCATGACAAGGGTACATAGTGCTTAGCAGCTGGTAAATACTAAGAGACCAATGTTAAGTCTTGTTTTCGTTGGTGATTGTTGGTGGTGTGTAAGTGATTGGAAACTGCTGGGTAAACAGGCTTACACGTGGGTGTCATATATTTTACGGGAGAAATGGCAAAAGAATCGGAAGAATCACAGGAAGGAGCGCGGGAAGGAAGGCTGTGCTCTTCTCTCAATGGCTCTTCGCCGTGCTCCTATTGACCGTCCGATACTGTGCGAGTCTCAAAGTTCGGCGCTAGTAAGATATGAAGGGTGATCGATATTAACCACAACATACACATTGACGTTTTAAATTCAAGACGAGAAGTAGGTAGTCATGACCTCATGCGAGATGGTAGGCTCGGTAGGTTAGGCTCTCTTGGAGAGTGCCCGACTACCTTCCTTGTAATCTTGCTAAACAAGATTGGCGCTCATCTATCGTCTGATCAATACAGAAAACCCTGTTTTCAAGAACACGGGTTTGAGCCACAAAAGAAATTCTTGTGACTCGTCTCGGATTATCCTGAAATAGAGTACTAAACCTATTACTAATTTGGGGGCAACTCGATATTTTTGCCATCCATTACTGAAGTCACACAATAGTAAAGGTATGTTTTCTAAGTCTCAACTTCTTCGGCTAATCATGCCCCCCCCCCCCCAGCATTACTTTGCAATCTCACATCTTTCATGACTCCCATAGTGCCGAGCAGTTCCTCGCACCACAAGTATAATTAAATAAATGAAGTTGTTATTCCATTCCCATCACAACACCAATCATCAACATCCTCACTAATATTCTCTCAATCTAGACAGAGGATTACGATCATGACGAGTCGGGGGTCGCTCCATCGTTGTTCCTCGACGCATCGGGATAGGAGCTCTCCCCGTGAGCGCAGGCTTCACCCAATCCCGATCGCAGAATTGTCCACAGCGATGCCTCTCAAAGAAAGATTTGATTCCATCGTATCCCAAATCCGCGGGTCCGCAATCGTGTGCTTGGGACATGATGACTGGGTCTGAGAGAATGCTAATTGGAGTGTTAGGAGATTTTCATAACCATTGATATAGTTTTCACCGAGGCAGCCGAGCAAGGGGAAAAACATCATAGTATGGAGGAAACAGCACTTACTACCCATTACTATACGAACCCCCCTGCAAATCACACAACAAAAACCTTCTCCCGGAATCATGATAGGAAAAGTGACTCAACGCCTGCATCGCCTCATTCCACACATTATTCCTTCCCGTCCATCCGGTGTTACTATTAAACTTTTCAAAATTTTCAATCATGGGCTCCACCAAACTTAGTTGTCCCGCTCTCCGCCCCGGACCACCCTCAAACCTCCAGATCGCAGGCCTATTGACGAAGATTTCTCGTCCGGGAAGAAACCCTACCGTCTGGAAATTATCGACGATTTGCTGCGTGCGGCGCATGATCTCCAGCTCTTCGGCGAAATAGTGGTCTTCGTATACCGAGCCGCTTTTGAATTCTTTGGATACGCAGGCTTGCCCGTTGCGCTCGCCTGAGGTGTAGTGACCTGCCTGGTAGGAGGTTAGCATTGAGATTTGAAAGGAAAGTAGCAGGATAATGATTACGTACCCAAACGTTTTTGAATGTCCCAGATGCAAATATTGAAGATGTGACGATCTCGGCTGTCGTCGATTTGTTGGTGCGTCGATGCGACATGTTGAGTTTTTGATCCTGCAATGCGATTTTTGTGTAGATACAATACAGCCTTGGAGAAATGTTCGAGGATTGATAACTCGAGGAATCGTGCTTGTCTTTGCGATCTAGGACCAGATACCCGGCCGGTACGAGTAATTTTATGTACATGTTGTTTGTACATGTTGTTTGTACATGTTGTTTGTACAACTCGAAAGTTCTATATTCTGGTTTCATCCGCCATCGCCTAGGCGACTACTGAGGCCAAACGACTTTGTTTGCTTGATTTTATTGCTTCTTTCAATCTCCCATGTTTCAAATCTGAGTTCATTTACTACCTTTCGATCTCTCAGATCGTACTTTCTCGAATGTTTCAATTGATATGTCAATATATAAGAGAACATACTCGTAAATGACATACCATTATTTCACGGCCTAGTTTCGCTTCTTAACTGTTTACGCTATTGATTTGTTTCTCAAACTTTCTTTCTTAAAATCACCATCTTTTTAGTTCACTCTTCCAGAATCTCCCCTGTTCTCCTCACTTCCATCAGTCACCTAGTGACTGTCGCCCCTCTACTACACGATAATGGTAAATAGAAGGAACTTAATTGAAATGAATACTCCTCTATCCTCGTTAAACTATGTGGAACTATAAGAACATCTTTATTCACACCCCATAGTATAGAACAGAAACAAGGCAAAATGAAGAGAAATGGTAATAGGTAAGAGAAGGAAGGATAATACAACTAATAGTCGGTTCTTCAAGCGACCGATTAGTTCCTAGTCGGGGAAAGCAAATGTCCCCGGAAAGCAAATTGTCCCCGTAAGATTTTGATATAGATTTTGTGATTTTTATTGAAAAATATCTGAATTTTATAAATAATATTATGAATTTTGAAATAATTTAAAAAAATCTAATATCATTAAAAAACTATAATCTTATTGAATATAATTATATAAAAAGTTCAAAAATCATTCAAAAATTGAAGATTGTATATTAAAAATAAACTAGATTTTTAATAAAATTGAATAATTTTAGTGTATTTTATATCCAAAATCTTACAAGGACAATTTGCTTTCCGGGAACATTTGCTTTCCCCGATTAAGAATTAGTCGGCCATTTATAAAAGCCGACTATTAGGAGAACCTGTGTAATAGCAAGATCCTAGGAAGCTTAAGGCTAGATGGAAAAGAATGAGAAAAGAGAAGTAACAAAAAAAGAATGAGCAGAAAAAGGGTGAGATCAACAAAAACAGGATGGAATAGAGTTGATACGATTGTGGTTAGCAAAAGATGAGAAAGACAAGATGGAAAGATGGAAAGATGTTGTGTATCTAAATCCGAAAAGTGCTAAATGTACTGATTCACTCAAACCGAATTTAACCTGATATGATTATTTGTGATAAAACAGATGAAGGGTTTAAAGCGACATCATGTCATCTCACATGTCACTCACATCAAACATGAAGCACTGCAGGACTGAATATCTGAATATAGTCGCATTCGCACCTATACTACAAGAAATCTCCATCTTCATCCACAACTCTTCCCCTTCCCAAAGAAAGTAACAAAACTGGAAAGAGACATTCAATTCGCTTTCCTAATGCATAGCGCAATGTTATGAAGATAATTATGGATTTCTCCTACCCGTTCCTCATCACCGAACGCCCGCTCCTACTCCACCTTCCTCCCCTAGTTTCTCATCAGAAACCCATCCCATGAAGAGCATTTCGCGTCCCATTACGTTATGAATATAAATAATCTTACAAAAGCTTTATCCCACCTGGTTCCTGAATGCCAAAAGCGCTCCTTCCAAATGTACAATCCTGCAAGCGACTTTTTGTGAACTTTCTCATCCCTACTATGTGGGAGGCGTAGTGGAAGCGGTCTAGTTGCTCGAAGCGGCAACTTCCTGGGTTTTAGGTATGGCAGATGGCGGTGGTATATCTGGGGGTGCCATCATTACTCGCTTTGGGTCTCTTTCAGAACAGGCTTCACTTTCTGCAGTTCTTTTCTTCTCTTTTTCCTTTTGGGCCGCCCTTCGTGCCTCTTTATCCTTGCGTTCATTTTCTTTACGTAACGCCTTGGATTCGAATTCATGCCAATCGCCTTTGAGTTCTTTGAGTCTATTTCATGGTGTTAGCTAATGATCACCTGTAAAAGGAGGTTGTAAGTAAGGATATAACATACTCGATAGCCTGCCTTGCAGTTGGCTCTTCCGTCGTGAAATATGGATGCTCAAGAACATCAGAAGCAGAGGGTCGCTTAGCAGGGTCATACTGAAACATGGCATCTAGGAGTTCAAACGCGGCTGGTGTAACGCGTTCCTTGTATTTTTCTGCAAAGACATTGGATCGTTTAGCAGAAGGTCTAAGAAG